AACGCAGTACAAAAACTAAGAAAACTTAATGATAAACTCTATCATATGTCTGTGGAGTAATATAATTAAGTGAGGGAAAGTGTAAAAAAAAAACAAAAATTAAGAAACCAACAGAATTTTTGAATTAATTACATTAAGCCTAATTTGTAATTTTTTCTTACTGGTATCATTCCGATTGTGCATATTAGTGATGTGACATAATATTAGTTGATGAAATAAGAGGTTTAAATTTTGTTATGAAACAGTTAAATGTAATTCAGTTCGACATTGTCGTATAGTGGTTTGATAGTAATTATTTAAAGCTTAATTCAAATAAAATGAAATACATAATGTTTGCATTACCTAATGTGAGGCATATTAATACACTTATAAATGTAAATAGTGAAAAAGCTGAGTTGGTGAAATCGACAAAGTTCCTTGGTATTACACTAGATTCCCGATTGCAATGGAATCCTCATATTGATAATTTGTCAAGTAGCCTGAGTTCTGCAGCATTTGCTGTTATGAAAATTAGATTCTTGACAAATGTTGAAACGGCAGGATTGGTATATTTTAGTTATTTTCATAGTGTAATGACGTATAATCTATTGTTGTGGGGTTCTGCGGCTAGCATTCAAGATATTTTTATTCTACAAAAGAGAGCTGACCACGCTATATATAATTTACGGTCTAGAGAATCTCTCAGAGAAATATTTAAAGAAATAAATATTTGACTGTTGCCTCTCAATACATCAATGAAAACATTATCTACGCAAGAAAACATTACGATTTCTTCACAAAAAAAAGTAGTGTTAATAATTTTAACACAAGAAATAAAAATAAACTTGCCATTCCAAGCTTCAGACTTCAGATAACCAGAGGGTCATTTCTGGGTTGCTATGTTCAATAAAGTTCGTAGTTGACCTACCCATAATAACTGTAATAATAGGTACTATACCTATATTTTTAATTGCAACGACTGGACAATCAGGACTCGCTGGTCAAGTATGAGTTTGAAAGCCGTGACAAAAAAGTTTGAAGACAGACACAAAAGCCATAAGTACATACAAACGTCAATCTACATATAAAGTCACATCCGTTTGAGACATGCGTTTATAAACTTATATGCAAATATGGAGCAACAAAAAAACTGATAAAAGCTGTTCTGTGAGCGGTTCTTTAAAGTGGATTAAATCTTAATTCGATTTCTATAATAATGGTTTCCGATTATGAATCAGCATAATAAAGTAAATTAAATTGACGCCTATAAATTCATTTTGTAAATTAAATTCACACCACCAACAATATTACGTTAGTTGAAAACATGATTTTTTGTTTGTATAGATAATATGTTGTTTTGAAACTCATTTGATAGGTTTAGGTCTAAAACGGATAGGACAAAATAAATTATGTAAACAGGGCAATCCGTTGTAAAGTTATTAGGGAAACTGAAATATAAGTAATGAAAAATAAGTGAAATCCAGTTTCACCAGTTTCTAATAAGACCTATTAGGCCAACACTCGTAGCTCTTCACGAAGTTTAGTTTGATTTATATATTGTTCATAAAACGTTGATATACTTCGTAACTTAGATATTTATAGCACATCAGTATTTTTTAATATTTATCTGTGTGTAAATAATTAACCGAATCTTGGTAAAAAAAGTGCCTGGATAATTCATTATTTCATCTGTTCAGTATCACTTCATCTTTTATTTTCTCTTTTAAACAGTAGTATTTATTCTTATATAATTATGGCATATACTTATCCATAACGTTGTTATGAAATGGTGAAAGAAAAGCTCTAAATAAATTTGTTTTAGTTATAGATTACGATCCATATAATTAACAATACGATTCCGAGCAGCAGCAGCCTATCGGTACATTTCAGACAAATGGAGGCACAGCACTATTTTTTGCAAAAGTGCACAATATGATTTACATTGCTGTCTAGAAACGAGGTTAGAAACATTAATGTTGGTTTGAGCAAACAATGTATATTTTATTTGAAATTGTGTAAAATTATTACGTTTTTTATATTTTAGCACTAAAATTGTACTTACCAGTGAAAGGAAATGTTTGCATTAGTTAGATTGTATACTTTGTTTTGCTTTTTGAAAGTGATAATAGCACAAAACGGTATTTTTATAGAAAAAATCAGTAAAATCACCACTCGACGATTGACGAACGACTGACAAACATAAAACCGAGGAAAGGGCGTCATATGAGTAAAAGCGCATATGCCAGTGACGCTTGCCCCGCCCACTTACTACTTCTATTCTCTCTCTGTGTTCTGTAGGGTCAGCCAATAATATTTGCACCGGCCGCGATTCGAACCCGAAACCTTCGGCACGAGAGTCAGTGTTACTAACCATTGCGCCTTCCAGTGCGCTATTCACAAGATAACAATTAATTAGATATTGTCTTTAGGTATACAGTTACAGGTAACTTATACAAAATATAAGAAGTGTAACAGATCGAAAGAAAGATTCAATCAGAAAAGTTAGCTTTTTGATTTTTTTTCTCTCTCCAGTTTCCTTTTTCTGTTTTCAGCACCCAATGGTCTCTTTTTACCATCCCCTAATTCAGCCATCTACAATAAGAGTCGCCATCTAGTGGAGGTGCTTTTTTAGTGATTTCTTTTTTTTTAATACATCCTCATTGCTTCGAATAATAAGCTAATCAATCAATTCCCAAAAAAATCAAGGAGTCAAAAATCTGTTTATAAAATCGATTTTTTTTTATTAAAAACGAGATCCGTTAAATCAGAGATTTCATAATAACCATAATTTTTATTAGCATATCAAAGCATCAGATTAGGTACAAAACGAGACTTATTTTCTAAATATATTGGTTACATTAAAAATTTAAGTAAATATATAAAATAGCTATATTTCTTAATGACTTACATACATGGATTTAATGATAACAATCAACAGAACAAACAAACAAACAAACTGAATGTAGTAGCATCAAAGTAAAAAAAACAAAGAAGCACTTTATTACCTACTTTCAATAAGGACTAAAAAGCACCTCCACTAGATGGCGACTCTAGCAAAAGTTATTTTTAGCAGGAAACGAATGGACCAAAGACAGTCATTTGTGTTCCTTTTGACTTATTTAATAGAAAATTGTTTGAAAAGTCCGAAAATTAGATATCAATACAAAAACGAAAAAGTACAAATAGAATATGAGTTGTTTATTGAGTTTTGAAAACTAATTTATTTTTAAACTTGAAAGAAAACCAGAAAGGTTGTCATGGAGAAATTAAGAATGTACCGTAGCGACATCTAGTTTGATTTCGAGAACTTATGTTTTTTTTAAATACTACCTCACTAATTATTTATTTCACTATTCACAATATGAGGGGTATAAAAGCAAAGGCGCTTCAGTCACAAAAATACCTAGACTGAAAAACCGCAAATTTCCACTGTGTCGTAATAAATTGTATTTTTTATCAGAATCCGATGTTGGTACATTCAATAGAATACATTAATCAAATAACAATAATCAAAACAAATAAAATATACATAAATTCTTTATAATTTAAGAAATAATGTAGGACTGAGGTGTTTTTGCATTTAAGCGTTGGACTAAAGCATGTTTGCTTTTCATTGCTTTGGATCGAAGTGAATTTGCATGTCACTATTTAATTCGTCAAATGTCAATAAATGGCGGTACCGATTGCAAAATAAAACAATGTTTTACAAGATTATGAATTTAATTAATTTGTTAACAAATTAGTTACAGATACTTAAAAACAGGACATCATATTGTATAATAATTATTTATGAAAAGTAAAGATAAAATATTATTCTTGCGCATGTAAAAAAAGTAAAAAGAAACTAAGAATTAAATCATAATATTTGAATCCGCTGTGGGTGGATCGCAGATAGGCTCATCCTCTTGAATTGAATGATTGTTATTATTATTCAAAATATTATTGTAATATTGGAATTCATTAGGATTTTCCCACTGCGGTCCATAGTGTTTCTCTAACAATTTCCTCACATAATTTTTTTTCTCTGCTTTTAATGCCACATTATTTTTTGGAAGTGGAACTTATATTCTTGCAGTCGTAAATATTTTTTTTGCTGTGCTGACATGCAGGTAGTTGTGGGAGATCTTTAGCAGAATACCTTAAGCAAATGAAAATAAAACCCATTACCAAAAGCAGAAAAAAACTGTTCAGTATAGCGCGAATAAAATGTTAGTACGTTACGTGCTTTTACAATTCACTTAAAGAAAATTGAAATAAAATTTAGAAGAAGCATTCTATGCAAACTCTACTTTAACTTTTCATAACGGCCAAAATATTAGTAAATTGTTTGTTACCTTTCTGCTTTTTCCTTCACTCTTCGCCACTGACTTTTATTTACCAGACGTTTCCGTGCTCGTCCTGCACGTGCTGGTATAATGTTTTCTTCCATTACAATAAGTTATTTAATAAAAAACACAAATTAAACACGCGCTATGCTCAGTCAACTTACTATGAAAAGTAACTAATTCGCCATCTTAGAAATTTTAAAATGGCTGCTTCTGGTTGGTTGATTGTGATCGAGGCGGATTTGCTCCTAACAAATTTTGGATCGAAGCGGTTTTGCATCTAAACGCTACTTTCTAAGTGAATTTTATGTAAGATTGAGGTGGATTTGCATGGTGCCGATTATAATATATTTTTGCATTTTTTTATCGCTACAATTTGGTGTGCTCAGTGTAAAAAACAACATTTTTGGACTGAAGCGCTTTTGCTTCTATACCCCTCATATGTATTTATTACGACAATCATACATAACAAATGAATGACGCAATGTCAATCACAGTTTCAATAGGTCAATTATTACAAACGATACTTTTTTCTAATAAAAAAGGCGGAAATTAAATATTCAGCCATCTATTTTTTCTGTTCTGGTATAAACAGTGTTATTATTAATATTTTTTATAATATCGATTATTTTGGTTCGAAAATCGATATTCCTATTAATCGGTTTGAAAAATATTTGACATTGATGTTTGACTGACAGTTTCGTTTGTGAAAAAGAATTTAAAAATAAATCGGTCGAATTTAATTCCTTTTAATTTTATTTCTGGTTTTAAAGTCTTCGGAACTGATCGTATTACTAAAATAATATTATTACCAGATCTAAATTATGTTGCGCTCTCGACCCGTAAGCTTACCTGCCTGCATTTGTTTTGAAATAAAGGAACTACAATTTCCAATTTTAATTGATTTTAAATTACTTTTTAGATATTGAATTTAGTACAGAAGTTAAAAAACGTGTCTTACATGAGCAGTTCATCAGATGCTGTGGACACTACATATATGGAAATACCGTCGTACGACGTAGAAAAACCACAACCTCTAGAAATCCGTAAGGCTAGGTAAGAATACAGTCAATTCCAATATTATTTTTATACTGTTGTTATCTTTCAAAAGTGGTACTTAATTTAAAGTATGGTAACAATAAGTTACTTAGAATGTCTTCACATATAGGTGTTTTAGTTGTGTGACTGTAGCGCTTTGAATGGTTGTCTTATGTTCATACATATGACCATTGTCTGGCCTCAGCATGATAATGTCTGTTGGATATATGGATACCAAGCTGCACAAATTAGTAGTATTACCTTCATTCAATCAAAACTTAAATGTAAAATTACATGCAATACTGTATAAGATCATAATTATTAAATTAATAATTTATTCTTAAACTAGCTCTTTTCATGTTTCACTTTCACACTGCTCTGAGGACACGTCTTCATGCCACCATGTCTCAAACAATAATGCCCCTAAGACTAGCAACTACTTTATTGAAAGACTAGTCAATCACACAGAATTTTTTAGTTCTGTTCTCTGAATAAATTAATTTGTTTTTTTAAAACCATATTTTATAATTATATTTTACAATATTCCAAGTCTTTTCTAATTATAAGGAGACCTCATAAAAATACAAATTTATAGATAATATTTTTAAATTAAATGTCAATTCTTAAAAAAGACTTCATAGTCAGATCTGGATTTTTTCAAAGATACAAAGAAAAAAAACTTTCCCCCCTTTTTAATATTAATATAGATTTACCACCTACCAGTATTTTGATATTAGATATTTATGAAACTGGATGTTTGTCACTTAATTGGACAAACTTATGGTTTAATGATGACTTAAAATGAGAAAAGTACAAATTCTCAACTGAGTACTCTCAATAACACAAGTTTTTTTTTACATTTCATGAGACAAAACAGCCCTAGTTGTATCAAATTACTATCAACTGATCATTAAAAAAGTATAATCAGTAATGAAATTTATTTAACTTATGTTCACCTACAGTTTGAGACATTCTCAACTTTAAATTTTCTATACAGAAACGGGGTGTAAATGTTCTAAATTTGTCTCAGTCCCTTTTAACTAATGGCATTACTAATTTTAATGGGTGTATGTGCAATGGGCAGTCCTTATTGAAGGTAATTATTTAATGGTACAAGTTTTGTTGAATCATTTTTTCAATTATTAAGCCTAGTTCTGTACTAGACTTTTTGTGAGAATAATTGTGATCACATTATTCTAACTCATCATTTTTCATTTTCATTTGTAATTATACTCCTATAGTAATCTAAACACTGCCTTTGCAGAGTAGGTAGAGAGAATTGAGAAAGACAAGACACATAAACTGCAAAAACTCATACATATTATTTTATATTTACTGAATACATGTGCTTTCATTTCATATCCTCATATTTATTAAAATTGTTAAAAAATATTTAGAAATTATTTTAATGAAAATAATGTTTCAGGCTTCATTACCAATCTAGAAAGAGAGGAATGCTAGAAAATGATCTATTGCTGAGTACTTTTGCCAAGAAACACTTAGATAGTTTTGATGAAAAGCAGACTATGATGTATGACAGACTCATCAACTCGCCAAGCAATGACTGGGATCTCTACCACTGGATTGTTGAGAAGTCACCTACACCAAAGGAATTTGATAATGAAATAATGAATATGTTGAAGAAACATGCAAAAAATGAGAGCCGTGAATCTCTTCGTCAGCCAAATCTGTATCAATAGTGATATTATCATCACATGATAATGTTTTGTTATAGAAAAATTGCTTTTAGTATTACAGTTTAATGAAATGTTAAAATATTGTTTTTCTTTTTTTAAAAAAGTATTATTCTATTACACTTCGACAATTCTTTAAACTTTTACTTTATATTTTAAATATTTATTCCTTAATATTGTCTTCAAAATCTCGTTAAAATAGGATTGTGTTCACATTTTTAACATATTGTCAATTCAATAATTAAAGGATCAAATTAGTCAGTAGGTTATATTACTGCACTCTTCTGTCGCCAGATTTCAGCACTAGTACATGTAATTTACGAATAGTTAACTAATATTAAACATAATATTTTTTAAATTTATAATTTGAAAGGATGTAATTTTATCTCTTAATACATAACTACTGTGTATTTGAATGTAAAAAAGAAGGAAATCATTGATTTCGAAAAAGCAAAATGTTGAAATAGTGTCCATGTTTACTACATGTGCTGCTATATGCATAATATTGCCTATGAGTAGGTTTTATGGAACAAAAGTATGGGAGATTACCACTGATTCACTTTAATTCGAAAATATTTGAACATTGTATGAATTTCATCTATCTTTTAATATAATGAGGTTTTACATTGTAGACGTCCATTGTAATAACTGTAAGATATATTTAGAAACTTACCTAGTTTGTATTGTCAACTGCACGTTAGACTATTCAAATCTTAATATATAGTGTAAGAGGTCAAAATCCATTGCCGAAATTTGAGATATCGTGGGAACCTGACGTGCAACCGCGTGTACTAGTAAGATATTTGTTATTGCGGATGGTATATAGCATTACTTCATACTAACGCAGAGTTGTAACACAACTAAGTGGCATCCTGAAATTTGATATAGCAAATTCATCCTTATGTCGAGCACTTAATGTTCATATTTCCTTGCGTATTCGTCTTATTTTCGTGCGTATGCGCGCCACTTTCATCAGACTGCACAGTAGGCGCTGATGCCTCCCTTCAGGAATCAAGACGCTATTTCAAGTAAGTTACAAATGTCGTTTATTCGCATATTTACGAGTATCTATCCAAGATGCTTGAATCTTGATCTGCTACGCGAGTCCACGCGCCATCCGTTACTCATAATTTAAGTTCTTGCTCTTCTGTATAAGATTAAATATAAAAATCCGATTAATAGTTTATTGCGATAGTCAAAAATTTATTGAGCGATAAAATTAAAAATACATAATCAATACATAAAAGTTAAAATTCTTGCGGTTCGGCGTGTATCCCAAAATTTCACTCTACTATGGAAGTACTTCGCTCTTGCTATACAAATCATAAACGATAAAATTTATGAAATTTGCTCTCATAGCAAATTGCAACTTCATGCACTTAAAATCAATTATCTAAATTGTCAGCTTCGGTATCCTGATGTACTGTAATTAAACAAGAAACTTTTCGATTTCTAAGTTAGTTTGTAGACGTCATTGTTGATTAGTTTTGCTTGATAACTTTGCACAATTTACAGACGTCAAACTATCCGCAAACGTCACAGTCACGGTTTTCTAAATGCACAAACAGTTTTTTCATTACAAAAACATTATTATGTAGGAGCACTTATGAGTAGAACATAAACTTGCAGCTTTTTTTGGTCTTCTTCGTTACATTTTTTTTGTAACGAAGCTCACATCAAATTATCCGTTATCACAATATCTGATCTGATATCTAAATTTCAAGAAATGGCGTCGTACTTATATAAAGTGGTATATACTATATGTTTACCACCAAAATTTGGCGCTTCATCAATAGGATTCGCAGGTCATTAAAAGTACTCTACTTCGTTCAAATGAACTAAGCAAAGGCAAGCTCTTTTTTTTTGTTAAACCTACATGGTTTTGTAGCAGGAACACTGTCTATACATATAAAATATTATTTAAAAAAAAAATATTAAGACTGTCATCTTACTCTCTTCTTTGCTTTCTGTCCAATAAAATCTTTAAAAAACCTTTACTACAACTAATAATTTAGTGGTTATGGGCCCTCCTTCCACCAAATCTTCGACCATCGTCGATATTGTAACGTCTTCTAGTTCAACGGTCGCAAAATTGAAAGGACGTGAAAATTACAACAACTGGTGCTTCGCCATTAAAATGGTACTAATTGATGCAGATCTTTGGGACATTGTAACACAACCTGAAATAATGCGTACGAAACTTACATCCGAAGAATTTCAGCGAAGCGATCAAAAAGCGAGGTCCAAAATTTGCCTTAATATTTCAGAAAGTGTTTATCCTATTGTGATAAATTGCGACACCGCTGAGCAGACGTGGAAAGCTCTACAAAAAGAATATGCTGATAGTAGCCTAAGCAGACGCCTATCGCTGCTTAAGAAAATGTTCAATAGCAAACTTGAGTTATACACAAGCATAGAATTTTACATCAATGACATTCGGGACACTCAACAAAAACTGTCGGCTATGGGGAAGCCCGTGGAAGATGAATTTGTTGCTGTGGTAATGCTTGCTGGATTGACTGAAGAATACTTACCAATGGTGATGGCTATCGAACATTCTGGAGCATCTATAACGTCGGATTTTGTCGCTACAACACTTTTAAAAGAAGAGCAACGGCGCGTAAATACCTCTTCCAACAACACCGTTCTTGCAACCTCGTCCAAAACTGTGTCGAAGTGTATTGTGTGTGCATATTGTAAAAAACAAGGGCATCATATTTCGAAGTGTAGAAAGCGTAATTCCAAAGTTGTAAATAAGGTTTCATCTAAAGTTAATTATACATCAGACATTACACTTTTATCATCTTTTCATTCATTCACAGGCCATAATTCTTCTTCCTCTTCCTTATTACAGGATTGGTTTGTTGACTCTGGTGCTACTAGCCATATGAGTTGCAATAAGGATTGGTTTACTGATTTACAACCTCTCCGAAAGCCAATTTCTGTAGCAAATAAAGAAGTTGTCTTCAGTGAAGGTAAAGGCACTGTTCATGTAAATATTTCTGATAGTATAATAAACATTTCTGACGTTCTTTATGTACCACAACTTTCTACAAATTTACTTTCGGTTAGGCAGTTAGTTCTGAAGGGTTTTGTAGTTATTTTTTCACCTAAAGGCGCAAGCATAATAAAAAAAGATGGGTGCAAAATATCTGGCTCCATACTTGCTACAGCCTCTAATAGTGCAGGTATGTATAAACTAAATGTCTCATCCATTCCATGCCGAGCATACGTAATGAATGAGTCTGCTTCGCTGTGGCATAGACGCCTAGGTCATCTTCACTACAAAGCCATGAATATTCTAAAAAACAAACACATTGGTGTCTGTTATTCTGACGTGATTTGTCAACGTCAAATCTGTGAACCCTGCCTTCAAGGAAAGTTGTCAAAAAAGCCATTTAAAAAGTCTGAAAGTAGGTCTAATAATAGATTAGAATTAATTCATACTGACCTCTGCGGACCAATGAGTACGCATACATGGGGTAATTCTCTCTACTTACTTACTTTTACTGATGATTTTTCTAGGAAAACTTTTGGCTATTTATTAAAAGCAAAAAGTGAAGTATTTGCAAAGTTTGTTGAATTTAAACATTTAGTCGAAAATCAAACAAATTTAAAAATAAAAGCTATCCGATCGGATAATGGTCGTGAATTTGTAAATAACCAAATGACTAGCTTTCTCAGGGAAAATGGTATCATTCATCAACTGACGGTTCCATACAATCCTCAGCAAAATGGCTTAGCAGAACGAGTGAATCGGACAGTCATAGAAAAAGCAAGGTCACTGCTTCAAGATGCCAATCTTCCTAAAGCTTATTGGGGTGAAGCTGTGAATACAGCTATTTATCTTAAAAATATTTCACCAACTCAAGCTTTAAACAATAGAATACCCGAAGAAGTTTGGTCAGGTAAACGTATAAATCTTTCACATTTAAAAGTTTTTGGCTGTCTGGCTCATGTCTTAGTACCTAAAGAAAATCGATCTAAATTACAATCTAAGACAAAATGTTGTATTTTCGTAGGCTACCCAAGCGATAGCAAAGCCTATCGTTTCGTGGATCCTAATAATCCAAGGAGCGTTATTATTGCTCGAGATGTAGTTTTCTTAGAGGATAAGAGATACAATGATCCTTCATCCTCTAAACCTTCTAATGCCGTTGAAAACTCAACAGTTACTACAATTGAAGTCTCTGCACCTGCTCCTACTACTTCCAATGAATTACACTCTTCTACAGCCAGCCAAGACTCATCTTCTGAACCCTTTATAGAACCCATAATTTCACAGTCATCAAGTATTGAAGAAGTTCCGGATATGAATGAACCACAAATTTCTGTAATACCAAGTCACAGTGAAAATGGGCAGCAACATCGTTATCCACGACGGGAACACAAACCTCCCGAAAAGTACGATGCAAGTGCTTATCTTGTTTCTCCTGACACCGAACCTGAATCTTTTAAGAAAGTGCAGGAAGATGTTCACAAGAGCGAGTGGATTGACGCCATGCAGTCAGAATACAATGCACTGATGAAATATGGAACCTGGATTTTAGTTGATAGACCTGTGGACAGAAAACCTATCAAGTGTAAATGGGTCTATAAAATAAAAAAGAACACTAGTGGGGAAATAGTGAAGTATAAAGCCCGATTAGTGGCAAAAGGTTTTACTCAAGTCTACGGTGTAGACTATGGAGAAACTTTTTCTCCGGTCGCTCGACTATCTTCTATTAGATTATTGTTTGCCTATGCAGTCAAGTGGAACTTACATATCGACCATGTTGATGTAGAAACAGCTTTTTTAAATGGTGATCTCGATGAAGAGATATATATGGAGCAACCTGAAGGCTTCGCCACTGAACCACATCGCAAAGTTTGCTTACTTAAAAAATCCTTGTATGGTTTAAAGCAAGCTCCGCGACAATGGAATAAAAAAGTATGTGAGACTATGGTCAATTTCTCTCTCACGCAGGCATCATCTGAACAATGTTTATACTTCAGAAGAGATAACAATAAACTTCTTATTGTCGCTGTTTTCGTTGACGATTTCTTTATCCTTTGCAACGATGATAATATGAAGAATCAGTTCAAAATTGAACTGAAGAAAAATTTCATCGTCAAAGATCTGGGACCAGTAAAAGATTGCCTAGGGATAAGAGTTTTCCAAAGCGATGGCAAAATAAATCTCGATCAAACCCAATACATAGATAAACTGATCGAAAAGTTTGGCATGTCTGATGCTATTCCTGTGTCGACACCAATGGAACCTGGTATTAAACTCACACTTCCCGGTCAGGACGATGAGCGGGTAGATCTCCCTTACCAGGAACTTGTCGGCTCATTAATGTATATTGCAGTTGGCACGAGACCGGACATAGCTTATACAGTCTCCTATCTAAGCCAATACAATACACATTACGGGGAGGCACACTGGAGAGCCGCCAAACGTGTACTAAGGTACTTAAAAGCCACGCGACAACTTGCTCTTACCTACACTAAGGATCAAACTCAGCTTGTGGGATATGCTGACGCTGACTATGGCAGCAACATTGTAGACAGACGTTCCTACACAGGCTACAGTTTCAAGCTTAGTGGTGCAGCTGTGTCGTGGGAGTCACGCAAACAGCGTACTGTTGCTCTGTCCACCACTGAAGCAGAATATATGGCTCTCGGAGAAGCTTGTAAAGAAGCGATTTACTTAAAGTCCCTAATTAAAGAAGTATTTAATAACGACCATTCCATTACCATTTTCACAGACAATCAAAGTGCACTGAAACTCACGCGAAATAACACTTTTCATGCTCGTACTAAGCACATCGATATCAGACATCATTTCATCCGTGACGCACTCACACAACACCAACTAAATATTGATTACATTCCCACTAACAGTATGATTGCTGATGTATTAACTAAGCCCTTGGCTAGACCTTCTCACTGTAAATGTGTACAGTCTTTAGGTTTAACTTAGGTTTACAATTTTATTATTATTTTGGGTTTGTATTTTAAGGTGTATTATTTATTCAAGATGTCTAGGTAGATGTTAGTTAGTAAGTGTATGTACAGTGTAACTTTTGATATGTCATATTGCTTTCTCTTTATAGGTATTTGGATTACCTAAGTACAGAGTGTCCCTGTTACGGGGAGGTGTTAAACCTACATGGTTTTGTAGCAGGAACACTGTCTATTCATATAAAATATTATTTAAAAAAAAAATATTAAGACTGTCATCTTACTCTCTTGTTTGCTTTCTGTCCAATAAAATCTTTAAAAAACCTTTACTACAACTAATAATTTAGTTTTTTCTATCCCCTGAAAAATTCTTTTGGGTAGATTCGATCTGGTTTATATTATGTACCTTTTGATCTTTAATGTAGCGTTTTTATCGTGCAAGTATTTTAAGTGAATGTAGAATAATTTTTAATGTAAATTGGTACCGTTGTGCGTAAATAAGCATATATTCGCTGCCGATATTAACATATTCATTTAAATGTGAATGAGGATGGATGCTCGGTGGTGACCCAATACATCCATTTCACTCGACCCCCGAGCCGCATCAAGGTTCCCGCTTAGTGCGCACTAACTTCTAACCAAATAAATTTATATCAGTAAAACGTAATCGTTATTTTGATTAAATTCTGCGTTATCAAATATTAGTTTATAATTTGTGTTGATTACAAATACGTCACAGGTCACACTAGGCCCACAATCTTATCGTGTACCGTTTATATGTTTGTGCTTTACATCCAGTGAAGTCAGTTAACTTCGAGTAATTTATGAAAGTACATCGTTTAATGAGCCTATGATAAATTATATAACTCATATAAGCGCAGATTAAAAAATAAATTGGAAAATTAAAGTGAAGTTTCGGATTAAAAAAAATAAAAGTGTTGTTTTTTGAAGATATTTGTGATATTTAAAAATGCCTATACGCCGTAGCAAGGTAATTGTATATTCAATTAAATATCAGTTAATATTATCTTTATAATTAATCTAATGTTATTTTAATGTCATAAAAGTAATACCAGTTGATTAATTATGAATAATTAGATGCGTATTATTAGTAATGAATATTTGCTTGTCGCTTTTTTTATTATTTAGTTTAAGAATACCATTTCTTTATAACAGAATTAATAGTTTTTAATTAATATATGTTTTTTTTAAAGAATGCCCAATCAGTAGTTAGAATCAGTTGTTACTTAGTGAGTAATTATATTTAAGCAGGCGCTATTATTGTATAATTAAAAAAAATAAGGTGTACTGATATAATCATATATTAAGGATTGGTAGATAGTTAATATTATTTTATATTTATTTTATTCGCTTTATAAACTCGGTATTGCACATAATGATATAAAATTTGAAGCACAAGTCCAGGTGAATTAGTTGTCAATACTAAAAGTTATTTTACTATGAGAATTTTTGTAATAAGAAAATTAATTCTTATCGCAATAAAAAAATATAAAAGTATCTATTAAAATAACTTGACCGTTAAGTTAGTTTCCAAAAACGATTCCGATCACCAATTGAAACGTTTGTAACGTGCGCGTACGCATACATGACGTATACACTGTGCGCTCATTACATTGTGATGTTGTGAATATGGGCATTTCTTGTAGTGTACGAGTATGTTGTATGAGTTAGTTAGTTGATGTGTATGTATATTGAATTTGAATTTTTACAAAATATTTTCTAACATTAGAACACGCATAAAATGAACTATAGTATTTCTAGTAACATTAAGAATTTATTACAAGGTCTTGGTCAAATGGATATTCGAGAATCAGCACAAGTTCCAGACTGTGCGTAGCTGCAGTTCTTCATTGCGGTACAAAGAATTGGAGGAGACGAATGCTACGCCTGAATTAGTAGCGCCTGCTCCGGCGGCACCAAAGACTAGTCCACATATCACACCCGATATTTCATTCAAGGTAAATCTAATTATAAATATTGCTCTTCTCATACCTTAAGCAATTATGATATATAGGACGTTCCGACGTGGTTAATCTTGACGTACAGGAGGTACACGTAAGGTAGGTATCGTTAATAGGGAAGAAGACTGATTTTCGAAAATTACATATGACATGTAGTTAATGAGTAATTTATTTGCTAGAAATGCGGTTTACAATAAAGATATTAGCAAAATAATAGTCCAGGCACATTTCGCTATAAATAGCATGCAAAAATTTTCAAATAATATTAAAAATGATAATTATTAAATTAATATTCATACAAACATAATATGTAACAATTAGCAAGTCCATCAGATATCATTAAAATAAGCAATCAGAATCACACATACAATCTTAATACAATTAATAATGTTAATAATAAATTTAATAAACACCCGATAAAGAAAATCTATAATTGGAGCAACCATTTGAGCAATATTATTAGACATGCATCAGTGTGATCATTGTAAAATTTATGTTGATAATGAATTTTTGCCAAAGAAAATAATATTGTCAAAATATTAAAGTGAAATTATTAATTTCATGATATTAATAATTTCATGACCTTAGCCTTGGCATACCAATCTACTGTTGACTAGAATTTGGTACGCCCATTCAATTCAACGGTAGATAGGTATACAATATTCAGTGGAGGGGCTGCTGCTCTCTCTTGTATTATAGGTATTAGTATTTTCCGGAAATTCTGGAAACTTGTGATAGTGATAAATTGTATCAGTGATATAATGTGAAAGTAGGCTTAGTACTACTGAAAATATAAAATTACATATTTTTACGAATTATTAAACGATTAAGGTCGATTTTGCGTCCAAAAAGTTATCAGTGTCGTCACAGAGGGTGTAACATGGAAACAAATCAACTGATAATACGAAAGAACGCAGAAGATAAGGCTCGATGTTGTTTTCGCAAATTCCTTAAAGAAAATGTATCTTGATTAATGAATGTGAAAAATCACGCCATTGTTTAAGATAACACTTAGGTATTAATTTGTTATCTTAAATAAGTCTTAATTTCAATGGTAATGTATATTCACATGTTTATTCATATGATCGAGTATGCGTAATATAAAATAAATATCATTCATATAATTTCTAATTAAAATTAAAAACAAGAATTTCTCAAACAAATTTGGATTGAAGCAAACAAATCTATCAATTTCGATTATGTCTAACTCGACCTTGGCTAGTTCTTGAAATGCTATGCAAAATGGAGAATAAATGGATTTTGCGATGCAACTCTTATCGAGCCATTAGACTAGGCATTAATCTGACATCAAATCAATCCGTGATCTTGATCCAGACTGACGTCAGATTAATCTCGTAATGTGTTGATTGATGTCAAATTGAAAGGGATCACACATTGTCCCGATAATTTGTTTTTGTCATCAACTTGGATCTGATCACGATCCAAATTGTTTTTTTAAGAACGAACTTTTACGTTTTTTTTTTAAATAGAACTTGTTTCATTGTTGCATCATAACGCCATATTTATTTCCAACGAGGTGCCCGACCTAATTAAGATTGCAGTGAAGCAAAAAAAACGAAATATTAAAAAATAAACAAAATAATAAATTCATATACATACATAATGCATATCATATATTATTAGTACCAATGTATAATCTTTACATATTTACTTATCTAAAACGTGCTTATAAAGTTCACGTTTCGTATTCGACAAAAAGCATGCCAATAAACACGTGACTTGCATCATACAAAGTGTTTACGGACAACAAATATATTATCCATTGCTTTCACAGTACGATGACCTGCGGGTGAGTCTCGCGGCGCCATACCAACTGCAACCGAAACCAGAGGCGGCAGATCTCGGATTCGGAAGATTCTTCACAGATCATATGCTCAAAATATACTACCACAGGGAGCTTGGAGGCTGGCAAAAACCAGAAATAACACCTTTCGAAAATTTGAGCTTGCATCCCGCAGCAAAAGCTTTGCACTATGCCGTACAGGTAAGATATGATAAAATTATATTAGGAATATACATACAATTTATCAATTTAATCTACATACATTTTTTAATACAAACTTAAGAAACGAAATGCTGAGCTGTTATCAGAACTTAAGTTTGTTGGAATTCTAGAATAACATATTCAATGAAGAACCAGTTTGTTGGAATTCTAGAATAACATATTCAATGAAGAACCGATTACGCTCTGTCTTATCACCGCTGTATAAACATAGGTTATCTTGTTATTTGGAGAGAGATGTTTTGAATAGGAAAATGACGATATAATTTATGATTGTTGTTGCAGTTATTCGAAGGATTGAAAGCGTATAGGGGTAGGGATGATAAAATTCGAATGTTTCGACCAGATCTTAATATGGAGAGAATGAATTTAGCCGCCCAGCGATCAGGCTTGCCCATGTTCGATGGTGATGAGCTAGTGAAATGTATAAAGCGGTTAGTGCAGATCGATCAGGAGTGGGTACCCCACTCTGAGACGTCCACACTATACATAAGGCCAACGTTGATTGGCGTAGAGGTAAGTTTCAAATATGTTAATAGTGATTTTAATTACTTTATGTTAATGTCCACACAGCAACGCATTAGGTTATAACAAAATGACAATATCCATGTGATTAATGTCAACTTTGACATTAATTACAAAGTATTAAGGTTTAAAGTATTTGAAATTATTTGGATAATTTAAAGTGCTGTATTTTATACAAAGATGTATATAAAAAAAAAATTACGTTGATTATTTCTATTAAAATGCAAATTTAAAATATGAGAAATTCGCTACTGTAGTATAATAGGGGTTGGAATTTTTGGAATTCGAGTTTATGATAGGTACAAATTAAATTTCTATGAGTGTATTCGTCGAGTGCTGTTGAAACGTAGACCTAAAAATAGTAGAAATTTAAAACTAAATAATTAAGTTTTTGCCACATTCGATGGAGACTCTTGGAGGGTTATTAGTGGGATGAGTTGTAGGGATGTAACACAAAATTTCAAGAATTCGTTCCGATATTGTCATCGAATTCCTTCATCCCCTATAATTTATGAAAAAACTGACCATTGCTTGTAAAGCAAACGATGAAATGAGCGTATTATGTATTACCCAACTTCTGTTAGGTACATATTTTATGAATCCTTTTGACTTACTTTTAATTTCAAAACAAAAGATAAGGTTGTTTAGCGAGTGAAACATGGTTAGTTACTATACGATTATTTGTTAATTATTATCACTGTGCAGATAAATTTGCGGATAGTGTTTTCAAGGGCATTTTTTTTTTGTTCAAGTTTTTGTAACCATGTATGATAAAGCTATAGAGACAGTACTTATTAAGTAAAACACTATACCTACTTAGCTGTAGCTTTAACATAACCTTTTTGTTAACATAGTTTATTCCAGTCTATTAATGTATTGTTACTATGCTTGAATTGAATAGCGACAGACAATTATATTATTCAAGAATCGTTTAATGTTGCCAATTTGAATAAAGCATTTTTTCTTTTATATATCAAGGTTTAGCAGCAATACGTCAGGTTACAATAATACTATTTACCTACCATTCAGCCCCTTGCTCTGTTGTTAGACATATTACAGATAATAGTACATAACATTGATAAAATCGACTTTAACATTTTAAAATTGCAAATAGAGATCCCTCTCGAACGCAATCGCGACGACCTGCCGACATTGCGATTCTCCGCTCCGAACTCTTGAATGGTTCACTAGCTTACTCTGGCGCTAGTGTCTCAATCAAGAGTACGTAACAAACGACACAATTGCAATGTCGATCGATCGCGATTGTGTTCGGGAGTTCTCTAAAGTGTCTAACACCTATATTCACTAACCTAGAACAAGGCATGACCGAACTAGGAAACGCCTAATATTACGAATCGCTTAAGCAGATTAGATTTAGTCCAAATTAATATATTTTTCTTTTATCCCTTGACATATGACCTGTCACATACGCAAATGCCTAGCGCAAGGCGCCGCATAACGATAATCTTAATTTCGTTAGGTGGTTCCTTGTGAATGGTGAAATACGTTTTCACCTTAAGCGATTTCTAAATATTTAGGCGACTAAGTTTAGTGAAAACGGGCATTAATAGCTCAAGGGTTTTTGTTTTAAATAATAAATACCGACATATGTTTAAAATTTTCACGGAAAATCAGCATATGCTTTACAATAGTCAATTGTGAAGTCGCACATTGAAGCTCGAGAATAAGATGTTTATGAATATTTTCTTTCCAGCCAACTTTTGGTATACAAGCGCCGGACTCGGCATTATTGTTCGTGATCTTGAGTCCAGTGAGCGCATACTACAAAAAGAGCAAAGACGGTGCCGTTTCAATATACGCAGACCCTAACGTCGTTCGGGCGTTCCCCGGAGGCGTTGGAAATAGGAAAGTCGGCTCGAATTATGGACCCACCATAGGTTAGTTAATTATACTACTAATACGATCGGGGTTAGTGCAATATCCCGTTACTGTCCCGTGCAATTAAGTGTTTTCTTTTTCTTTTTATTTTGGCACGAATAGAAAATCAACGGACATTACGGAAATCAACTGCTTATAAATAAATATAATTTATGTTATAGACCACAACAATAATAATTAATTCATAAAATTATTGGTAATGTTAGCGTATAATATAGCTTATATTAAAATTTTTACTTTATTATTATTTAACATAATGGGGTGCTGAAAACTATGTATATAATAATAAACAATCTGTAAGATAGTAAGAAACTCGTTGAAATAAATCATATAACTATTACAATTTATCTGCAAAATGGGTTTTTTTCTTTATCTATTCGTAAATGTAATTATCTTTCATGTTCAGCTGTATAATGTTTCCATTCGCTTTGAGCCTTTTAAGGAATAGTAACATCCTTAAATTCTCTTTGATTAGATCCAATGAGCAAGGTAGGAAGCAATTATTGGTATAGTTATTTTTAAGTGAAGTACTTCAATGCATGTTCTAGTTACGCGGAGTTGCACTATCCCCGACGATATGTGAATATGTTGTGAGAACTCCTTTACAATTAGTATGGAGATTTGTAGTTCTTCATAGCTAGGGAAGCTGAGCCGGTTTCAATACTAAAATCTTAACGCGCTAACGATCGAAGGTGAGGGATATTTAAAAAATGAGATAGTTATATTTACTAGAAGGTTTCGTAGGAATACCTAACGAAATAATATTGTCAGATGGATAATACAAGCCAGTGTGCATTTAGGTCATTCTAAATTTCTTTGAATTTTTTTCTTATCATCATCATCATTATCTTCAGCCCTTTTACATCCCTGCTGCGGGGGCTCAGGCTTTATTTATGGATGGTCAATAAGGATGGGCCGGCACCAACTTTACTTGCCTTCCAAAGCACGGAGTAGCTCGAGATAATAATTTTTTGGTCACCCATCCCGTGATCGATCCTTGTAAAGGTTGCTTAACAAAACAACAACCATCGCCGACCACGGCGCTTATCCACAACTCTTAATCCTTTTTTTTTCTTTTTAATTTTTCCTAAAAAAATCTTTCTTATTTCAAGTTTTTAGCACCTAACTCTTAACCCTTTCCTTTCTTTTTAAGTTTTCTAAAAAAAACTTTCTTATTTTAAGTTTTTAGCACCTAATACTTTGCGTAATACATTCGCACATACGTATATATATATCTTATCAACTGATTGGCTACTTTAAATCCATAATTTAATCTGTGGAAGAATATAATAAGGAGATTAGACTAACTCGAAACGTTTTTGTGAATTAAAAAAAACAAAGTAATGATTTTGTATTCTACTTCAATACATACCTATCGCGCTGACCCAAATGAAAGAAAAGGGACAAGGAACGTTGACGAACACATATTAAAAAAAACTTTTCATTTTGTTAGAGGCAACATCGAGGGCGGAGAAACTCGGCCATCAACAGGTGCTATGGTTGTTCGGACCTAACCATGAACTCACGGAGGTCGGCGCCATGAATATTTTCATAGTTTACATCAACGAGCAAGGAGGTACGAATACTTTTAATCTTATCTAATATGGATAATTTATTAAACGCTCGCTTAAATTATTTGACATGACAGTGACAGTTTGTTGTTTTTAGCTCTATCACGTGAAAATGTGTACCTTTTTTTAATTTTATACATATTGTAACTATAAGTATAACATTTAGTTAGTTGAATTTTGCTACACTTACTTCTTCGGCTCATCGCCCCAAAGTGGGTGTTGGTCTCCAACATCAGAGCACTCTGCCGATGTCTATCCTGCGCAACTTTTTGCCAGTTTTCGACTTGAATCTTACTCCAATCAGTCATCACTCGGTCTCTACAGCGATATTAAGGTCGACCGAAATATTTTTTCTTGGCACTCATTTCATTCATTAAATTACAGCGATATATATCTCGAGTTAAAATGACACATGACGTCACGCCGTTGTACAAATTTATATAAAACCTCTCAACTTTAATCTAAGCTATTTCTTGTTAAATCAAAGTATAAAAAAATACCTTTTAAAAGGCAAGAGACCTTTTTTGATTAGCAACCCAAAATCTCTGCTAATATTATAAATGCGACAGTACATCTGTCCGTCTGCCCGATACGCATTCTGCCCGATTTTAATGAAAATTGATACAGAGAGTACAGAAAGAAAGTACTTAAGTCTTATCGCGAAAGAAAAAGGTATTGAAACAGATGTAGTAGTTCGTTATTGTCAAAGAAAATTTCTTCAAACTACTGCCCGAAGTAACTTACCCAAAGGACGAAGTCGCAGACAAAAGCTAGTATACACATATATTTTAAACCCGAGCCCACCGCTAATTTATTGATGTATACGTGTTGATAAAATAATATAATAAACTGAAGTCCGTGCTTACACAAAATATTTTTTCATAATTATATTATTCAAAATTAAAACCGATCCCAACAATACCCGCGCCCGAAGCTAAGAAACGATACATTATATCATTGGATTATTGTAAAAATGACTCTTGATTGATTGTGAAGTGACTGGCATATTTATTTACACGATAAAAATATTACATTACGAAGATATTTAATATCGTTGAACTTTAGAGATATCACTTTTAACTTTTTTTGTAAATAAAATGGGTTCGAATCTCATTTCAAGAGCGCCAGGGACGATTTATTAAGCATTTTTCAGTATAGCATTGTGAATGCAAAATTGATAAAATATAATAAAATGTTGTTTTTGGCATTCTGGCTCAACAAGTAAGTTTGTTGCACAAACTAGACTTAATTTACTTCAAATCTTGTCAAATGGCGTTTTCAAAACAGATATTATAGTATGCTTTCTTTATATATGAAACTACGAATGAATTTCAGCTACCATTGTGGATGTTAATTTGGAATTTATTTCTTCGGCTAACGATCATTATTAAATGCAAACAGAAAAATGTTTCCTCTTAATCTAAACCAAAATAATCAAAAATTATTTATTCAGTCTAGGCTGTTACAAACACTTGTGAAAGTCGAGAGCTACGCCATCGGTTCGTAAATCTACGGCGGGAGACCTTGTTATATATAATATAAGTGTAGATAATACTTAGTTTTAATTTTTGTTTTCATTTGAAAGGAAATTAGGACAGTATTACTGTAGTATTTAAAAGCAAACATTTAAAATGAACTTCAAATTAAACTGTTTCTTATAGAATAGTTTAAACGTAGCGTAAAAAAATTATTTTATTCTCTTTAAAAAAAATATCTTTAAAAAAATAATGGCATAAAAAAGTATTATCGATTTTACATATCACTTTTTCAAGCAATGTATGTTAATGGTGTGTAATATTCCTATGTTTCATATAGTAAATTGTGTCAAGTTTGTGTGATACGACTGAGTGTAACCTTTGACATAGCTACTAGTAAATAGTGGAAAATTATTGCCTGCTATTAAAGTTGCATTCCTGAAAAAAAAAACAGGTTCTATCAAATTTTAAAGTTAACTGTAAAAAATAAATTTAATACATTATCTTTATAACACTGGATCACTATTTTCAAGTAAAGCAGATGTTGGTAGAAACTTGCACAATCACTGGTCCACATTCAGTAGAAATTATTAGCGATCCGACAAATATGTTGTACAAAATTGATGTTCTTAATCGGGCTGTTGGTTTTCGCCCCATTACTTTATAACCGGTATGAACCGGAATGGTGTAGTTACTTAGATAAGTGAAGTAAAGTAAGTGGCCGATATTGTTATGTTATCGAGCACGTTGTTGACGTTATGACCTTATGACCAGAAAATTCTTGTCTTAAATCTGAAGCAATAGTTGGGATTGCTATCATCACCAGAATATTGGTTTGATTTTAACAAAGCACATGTTGTGTTGTGTAATGTTCTAAATCTTTCCTTTACTTACACCTAAATATATCATCGTAGACTAGACATGCTGACAATAGGATTACGTTGCATATAACAAGTCAGAGTAATTCTAACTCGCCATTGCGAATTATAATTCCGATGTTGCACGGACCATTGTTTATTGTGATGTACCCAAGTCTAGCAGAGCGACCGCCTAGCATGGCTAGAATCATGGGATTCTAGTGATAGAATACGACATATTAGCGATGTTATGACGATATTGCTTTTCATTTAACTACTTTGACATGTACTTTAGTAACGATAAAGAATGATGATTATGGATTTAATAACGGTGGTTATTCACCAAAAAAACATGTTAAAGTAATATGAAAGGAAATATCGTCACAACATCGCTAAGATATCGTAACCTATGGCTAGAATCAAAGCTAGCGAGTTAGGCAGTCGCACCCTTGAGAAATAAAGTATTAGCATAAGCATTGAGTATCTATACTACATCTATAAATAAAACTATCATGATTGTGAATATTTTATTTATATTTAAAGTATAAATACGCATATACTTATTATTGCTTAACTTACTATTAATAATTGATTACAAGACCACTTTGGATGCTTCCAGAGACCACCGGAATATTTTATATGCGTATATGAACTATTGTTCTAATTAATTATTCAATCACAACTCTTAAACATGTATCGAAATATTCCTTGACCAGATTCAGTATATACCCACCTTATTACTTACTGGTTAACAATTGTAAAGCAATTAAATATCATTGTGATAGTTTACAATAATTAATAAATTATTATTCTATAATAAAAACAGTATTGATAAAAAGCATTAATCATTACAATAAAAGTAATCGATGTCGTCACGAAAGTATAATGAGATATGACGCATTCTCGAAGGGACCAAACTCTATTAATATACACTCTTCAGAACAAGTGGATGTGTTAATAAATAGTGCAGATCAAGGTAATTGTTTTTGGTTACCTTTAACATAACTTAGCTGTTTCAAACACACATATACTATAAACTAATATTTTCTTATTTCTATTAAGTAGAAGATATAATTATCTTCTATTAATATACAGCACGTCAAATTAACGTAATAAGGCAAATTTCCTCAGTTGAGTTTGAACTCTAGTATTGAGGTTTAAAATGAAGTGGAGAATTTACGTGTTATTTACTGTATTAGAAGTAATGTGTAAGTAAAGGAAAGGGGTGGCAGTGTAGTTATAAGTGATAAGCTGTTTTCTCGTGACTTCGCCCCAGTAAATTATAGCTTATGTCACCCGCGTATGATGTAGCTTCCCGTAGGTGAAATAATTGTTAAAGTCGGTGCAGTAGTTTAGTAGCCTATTCGGTGAAAAAAATCTATTCGTTTCTTTTTATAATATAAGTATAGATGAACTTCGTTGATATGTTTGGTCACACATGTTGGGTCTTTGATAATAAGTATTTAATCCGATAAACACATGCTACAAATTAAATCAATACTCGTGTCTATCATAAGGTTAAAGCTAGTTGAAAAGACAAAAGATTAAAAGAGATGAAATCAACGGATCCGTAAATGAGATAGCTAGAGACGTGATGGTATATGTTTATTTTAAAAAAGCTCCATAAGGCCAGAATATAGTATAGAGCTCTCCACTACTTAAGTATCTCACATATTATTATTTGTTCTTATAAAAATATAGAGATTAAGTTTTTATCGAGGAAATTTTAGAAATTCCTGCTCTGTATAGCGAAATACTTAGAAGTAACAAGTGTGTTTTTAGTTATACCTTATTGCTTTGTAAAACATTAATTGAAATTAATTTTGGTGTATACATAAGGCATGTGGCTTATCACTGCATTTTTTCGTTAGTATATGTTCATGTAACAGATCCCCTGTCATGTCATGCATACCGCGGATAAATGACGATCTTTAACTAAGGTTGGATTACACCATAATTGCAGTTAAAATTAAGGTTTATCTCAAATTTGACAATATCTGTCACGCTGATTTACATCGACTGTGGAAGGCTTTGCACCATCCCCTTTCTTGGCATAGTAAAACAATAAGTTTAACCAACGAAACTTTACCGTTTAGTTTACAGTTAAAGTTATGACGTCATCTAACCATTTCCAAATGATAACTCATTATTGTTTGGTTAAGCGGTACTTTTACATGTTTGTTATTATTAAAGTAAGTTGGTGAGACTAGCCCTTATGATAATATGATTATAATTTTCTAGATAAACAACTGAGCACGCCGCCATTAAACGGGTTGATACTGCCGGGTGTCACGCGGCGCTCTATCCTCGAGCTGACCAGCCAATGGGAGGACTTGGTGGTCAAGGAGGAAGTCATTACGATGAATCGTCTTATCGAACTCAACAAACAAGGAAGAGTGAGTATTTGACCACATGTCAAACAACAGCACATATAGTAATTAATAGCACGTACAATCAAAAAGTTCTTTCTCCAAACGATTTTCAGTCTTAATCAGTTAACCCTATAAGTTGATATAATTATTTTAGGGTATGAAGAACTGCAAATAATTCATCTTTCCGTACTAAATTTTTTTTTTGGTTCTATGGTCTTAGTGCCATTACCACGATTCTAGTTAGTAGTAGTGCATAGTTTAAAGAAATATGTCTTCCAATCATTGATGCATTAAGAGGGCGCATAAACAGTCACTTCTTAATTATAATATCTAGAAAATAAACATATGAATACTTAGAAGCCAAGGTAGAGTTTTTGAGTACCTAATATAATTTTTTTTTTTTACTTATTCCGCATAATACGCCCTCGTTTGTATCATTGACCCCGTTCAAAACGCGATGTAGGCTTGATGGTGGACTTGATCATCACAATTATGATTAATCTTTAAATTCTAACTCTAATAAATTATGTTGCATTTCTTTTCTATAGCAAAAACAAACATACAGAGCTAATAATAAGGAAATTTGTAGATCGATAAACAATTTATTAGAAAGGCAATCACTTAAGAGTGCTCATTATCTAATTCATTGAAATATAAAGTAAAAAGAAAGCTAAATCTAATACGATTTTCAGTTGTTGGAGATGTTCGGTGCCGGCACTGCGGTGGTTATCAGCCCCATCAGCCGGGTGGGATTCCTGGACACGGACGTGAATATTCCCACCATGCAGCAACCCCAGCCTGTGTACCAACGGGTTAAAGACACGTTGCTAGCGATACAGTACGGGCATTTAGAACATCCATATGCGACGATTATATCATGAGTGTCGACCGCTAGGTACATATAACTGTGTGCGAATTATTTGGTATAGTGACAGTGAGATATCGTGAAAGAACGTTTACTAACCGATTATCGTTATCGCGAAAGACTTTATCAGAAAACGATTAGTCTTTAATGGGACGTGCTTCTGTAAGTTTTTATTTTAAGGTATTATCAGGATGTTTATTGCAGGCTGTTTCTTATTGCGATATTAATTATGGACCGTTAAGATGTTATCTGTGGTTCTTAATATGTGAATTATTCGTAATTAGCGAAAAGAGACGGTGACAATTGCAAGTTGTTTTTGCGGAACATGTTTGATTGAAGAGACACTCTATGCCTAATAATAGTGTAATTGTTTATGTTAGGTATTTACACGATAAGTGAGGTGTCGCGACCTGGAGTAGAGGAGAATGTATGCTGTGATTTTAAAATGGTGCGCATTTCATTATGAATTGTTTTATTTTCTGATATCGTTGACGTCATTCTTATTTAAACGTTTGCATTTTCCTACTTTGTAAATAAATATGTTTTATAAGTGTTTTAAGGACGATATTCCTAAAATTTAGGAAGTCAATTGATATTTAATCGTGCGTTTTGTCACGTAATTAAAAAGAGAAACCAATAATACGTATTACTGATGGATGTTAATATAGTGTTTAGTCGAGTTATAAGTTTCGCATATACTTTTAGCGCGCGTGTTATCAGTGAAAGTGCGTTTTTGTTTTAATCTATAAAAATACGACGTAGTATTACATTTCGGTGCTAAAAAACTAGGTCACTACACTGAGGCGCAAATCAAACAGATGACAATCTTACTACGCAATATCAAGGAATAGTTAAAAATTGTATATACCTATTCCTCATGTTATATATTTGTAAATACAAATTACACTCAATTAGTAAGACTTAGTTTCGTTTGTATTTATTTTAGACTATGACTGAGTTGTAGAAATCTCTCTTCGAGGAAAATCGTCGTTTTGTTTATAAGTCATATTAATTTAAATATTGATATTAAGAACATCACAGTAAAGAATTGTTTGGCCGGCACTAAAGCTTTATTTATTGTAATTTAAATAGTTTTTTTATAAAAACGACGTTACGTTTTTAAAACACCACACTGCTGATCAGTTGCACAAACGTCCATTAGGGTTTAATGACGCCTTTAAGCTCTAATGAATGTCAAATTTGTAAGGGTAATGCCGTTTTAAAGTAATGACAATTTTAATGGACGTTTGTGCAACTGGCTGTAAGATATGTAGATAAAACATGATGTGATATTAAATTATGACGAGTTTTGGGCATTTTGTGAGTTGCGAAACATTTGTTTTCTAGTCTAAGATCTGTATGTTGTTGTATATTTATATAATGTATTATATAAATTAGTGTGCAATTACAGTGCCAAATTAAAAAATAAATTCATATGAATTTCTTGAAGTTTTGTATTTTTTGCAACCTATGCAGTTCGTACATATAAAGTTGTACAACGTATGAATAGTTTAACACCTGGTTTCTGAATTGAGAATCTGAAGTTGAGCACGTCTCAAACTGAACCATTGGAGTAAGAAAAATAGCGTGTGTGTGACGCTACGGAATCGTTGAGGCGTTAAGCAGCACTTAACATCGATACTTGAATTCCACGCTTGAAAATCTGAGAGATAAATAAGAAATAAAAATATTATATATAGGTTTAAAAATATTTAATAAAATTTAATAAAAAGGCATTTATTCAGGCGGTAAGGGCAATTCATCGTCAAAATCGTCGGCTTGTTTCTTCCTGCCTTCCGGTCGAGTGATTGATCTGTTTACGATATACACGCTGTCTTGTGATGTGTCCTCGGTGTATCTACAAAAAAAAAAAATATTAACACGTACGAATTAACGTGACACCTGAGGTTTACAATAATTAAGAATCCTTATATAATAACGAGTATTGTGACTATGAAGCACCGGGGATATTATTTAAAGTGATAAAAGAATGCGCTTAAATATACAAACAAACTACTGATCCTCCTCTCTGAACTCATTTCAACAAAAAAAAAAGATATCATGAAACATTAAACAAAAAACAAATTCGGCGTGTCCCATAGGACATATGGAACATGATGTAAGAGATCAAACTGAAAACAGTTCCTCATCTCTGAATTGCGAACCCTATTTTTAAAAAAAAAAGGTTGTAAAGAAAATTAAGTAATCAAACAGATTACTGAAATTAACTCAGAATTATGGTTCATAACTTTCTGTTATCATATGGTGACCCATTTAATTGATACTTTTTGGCGGCAAACAACGTCTTGTTATCAATTCGGACTGATGAATATAATATAGTTCAAAAATTTAAGAGTGTAACTGCGTAAAATAGACACTTAGATACATTATACATGAAGCGCATAATTAGTGAATGAATCTGGTTACATATTCAGACAGTTGACCCGCGGGCGAAGTGCCGCTACAGTCTGCCTTATTGTGCGCCGGGTGCGCAGTTTGACTAGTGTTAATGAACCTAATTAGTTAATGTCAAGAAATCAAATGTCACGTTTCTTAGAACGCCAGATAAAAACTATTTATGGATTTTATTTTATTCGTTAATTATTACGCAGAGAAAAATAATTAAACAGACTTCAACAAATCATAATTAAGAGAAACGATTGAAAAGAGAGCTACGATACCACACTTTTTTATCTTCAATAAAATCAAAACACAAAAAGTGGACATTTCAACAATTTTTTTGAGGTACCTAGGTGCCATTAGTGTCATTGTTAAGAAGTAAAACAGCACTATCAGAAAATTTATTTTTCTATTACCATACATGATATTTTTCATATAAATAACTGGCACTGACGTCAAAAAATATTGTTAGTAAATTATTTTCATTTCTCTTTATTACGATATTTTTTAAGGCGGTTTAATTTTTCAAAAATAGTTTTTATTTCTTTCTCTATTTAATAATAGAAGTTATCGGTGATATTACTTACTTTTTACTTATAATAAATAGATTCCTGTCTGTATTTATACCTACTTATATTTACTTGATAAACGTTTTCTGCGATGGTAGTAATTCTAAAACAGTCACCCGGATTACGAAAGGTCATGGGTTCGAGACCCATCTCAGAGTGTCAGGGACAAAGTGGATTTTTAAAGCATTTATCATTAAATAATAAAAATATACTAACAACTCTGATGCGTATAAAAATACTTGAAAATATAAGATATAGTTTACGTGTTGGTTCTCGAGTAGCCGCTATCGGCCCGCCCGCCACTAGAGTGGCGCGCGCCGGACGCTGTGGGGGGCGGCGCTTGAGCAGCGCTGCTACCACGGGATGTTCCTACAATACGACTATAATATTAGAAATCAGGGCGACCGCCTAATTTTCTAGCCTCTCTTAGGACTCTCTTAGGCTTAATGTTGTAATCAATCGAGACCGATCGACATTGGAATTGTGGCATTCGATACTCTTTATCGCACTTCAAGAGTATCGGACACAAGCGTCAATTTCTTTAATAGTTATCAAATGAAATAGAGTTTGAGCTATAATCTGTATCCATTGTATTTCCACATTACCATTATCTATATGGTTTAGATGTTGTGATTTCTTGCAGCGACCATCCGTCGGTAGCTATACTCATGTTTATGTTCTCAATTCAATAATAATACTAAAGAATAGGGTATTCTACTCCATTTGAAACAATACTTCTAACTGTTTATTATAATTTTAAAAAGCCATATAATAAATAATTCGTTAAATCAAAAACGTTTTCTTGTCTTAAAATTAAGTCAAAATTTAAACTTTTTATACCCTTAAAAAAGCTGTCTATCTTATATATGACGGCATTGTAATAACTACACAAAACAGATGCCTAGAGTAGATGATTAAAAGATGTCAATAAACACCATCTAACCTTTACAACTATGTTAATTTTAATTTTTGTGTAATTTCGTGACTTATTGCGTGTTTCAAGAGACGAATTACGATTTGACTAAAATTGAGATTCTCATTGGATTGCATTGAAATTGAGATAATATTCAAGAGAAAGCCGCTGACCAGCAATGTTTATTGGTTCTATGACTCGTGGCCGTGTGGCTCGTGCCGGTGTCAGGGTGTTGCCATCTGATCAGAGACAATGTAGAAAATCAACTTTTCTACATTGTCTCTGCGTTGGATGTTGTTTGTTCCGTTGTTCCTTTCATTCATTCATTCTTCATAATACAATTGCTTTACATACTATCTTGGAATCTGAGCGACGTTGTCCAATATTTATTTATTTAATTAATATTTGTCAAAATGGCTACCATCTTGAATTTTCATTTATCTTCAGCCACACACACAAGTTAAATCAATTGACTTAAAATTCAAAATAATGAAAATTAGCCCACGCGTTCACACGCGTTTGATCTTTAGAGCGCAAAAATGGATCATACATACACTGACAAACACATTGGCCTCTTTTACGTCACGCAGTTGCGTTAAAAACTTTTAGCAAATCATTTACATAATTAAACGAGTAACAAACAATGAATAAAAAAGTAAACATGGAACGCGAATCTTATCATTGAATTCGATATACGAATATCTGTACTGTCCTAATTTGTGTGTGTACAGGAAATCGTTTTAAGTGATGCAATAACGTTGACCGTTACGATGTTGTCTTCCGTTTTTTTTCTATTTATGCGCATTTTAAGCAATAACAAACAAAAGTTTAAGCAATAACAAACAAAAGTTTAAGCAATAACAAACAAAAGTTTAAGCAATGAAACAAAAAGTTGTTTCATTTATAAATAGTGCGCGTGAAAATATAAGTCTCAATCAATATTTTTAAAGGGCTCGATATTAAGGGTAGTTTCTACTAATGGGGTAAATCAGTTTCACCTAGTTCGTTTCTATTGTAGAAATCGTGAAAATAGGTTTATTAGATTGTATGAAACTGTTTATTTATAAGATAGATTTATGCAGAAAAAAAAAGTATATACACAAAAATTTGGTCATTTGTAAAACAGCTAGAAAACTTTTTATAGAGACATCTTTATGACTATTTTATCTAGACAATTGTTAATATTAAGAAATATTGTTAGGATTAAACATGTTCAAAAAGGTTTTGCTTGTAAAGTGTAATGTGAAGGTCAATAAAAATACTTACTTACTTATTATTATTTCATGGTTGTTAAACAAAAAAGGGGAATTATTGTTAATTGGTTAAATAGTGATATTATTAACTGTCATATAAGGTCAGAATTACCTTTTTTGTGATGAAGAATAATGCATTCTAATTCCTCTAATGTTTACGTAATAATCGCATCTCAATACAATGTCAAAGACTTGCATTTTACCATTGTACTAGATAGTAGGTAGATACCTTAGTCCAATATTATATTATAGTCTTGTGTAGTATAGTTTTGCATAGCCCGACGTGCCACTGACTGTATCACCTTCTTTTATAGTATTTTTCTACGATTGACTCAATACTCAATACTCAAATGTTTATTGCAAAACCATAGTGTTACATTGATGTTACAAAATAATAATATTAGTATCAAACTATAGACCCTGTCGGGCACAGCAACACTTTATAGAGAGGATACATATCAAAAATAAATTAAGTGGTCTGGCAATTTAATAATAATCATAAAGTTAATCAATTATCACTAACAGTCATTCAAATTCATCAACAATATAATTGAAATTTATTTGTAATTAATTAATTTAATATTGTTGATAAAATAAAATGTAATTTAATAATCATATTACTACTACATCGTCAAAAAATAAAATAAAATGGTAAGTTTAATAATTATAATTAATAGTCAGAGAATGTTTTCAAAAATACAAATCAAAACAAGCCAATTTCATGTTATTTGTATAAAATTGATTGATTCACGTGTAATTAATTTAATATTGTTGTTATAATTTAAAATATAATTTGTTTCTTTAAAATTTGCTAATTTATGTCAGTTGGCATCATCATTATTATTATTATCTAAAATTGATCTATTGAGGCATTTTTAATTCAAGATTTCATTTATTGTACATATTTTATTTTCCTGTAATTGCTTTATTACTTCCATTATTCCAATCATTAATTTAAAACTATATTATTTATTGCTATTAAAATTTTAACTCCATTAAAGTTTTTTATTGAATTGTCCGATTATTTTCATTATATTAATTTGCAAACGTAATAATATGTACTCATTTTATGTAGTAATGTTTTTAATATTGTCGTCTAGATATTCATTTTGACTGTAATAGCTTTTGCAAATTAGAAATAGTTTTAATTTATTAATAAAAGAGTTATGGGACAGTTCATTCTTTATTGAATCTGGTAGTTTGTTATATATTTTAATGGTCATGACCAATGGACCAGTCGAGTGCATGTTTAGGCGGGAACATGGTAAGTTTAATCTGTTTTTATGTCTAAGATCATATTTGTAATATATTCTACGTGTAGTATAGAATTCAGGATATTTGCGAACAAATTTGCAGACTTCATATGTGTATATGCACGGTAAGGTTGACATTAAGATTGTGTTTTAAATGTAACATAGACTAAAGTAATAATAAGTATAGATTAAATTTTGTACATTCCTGAGGCCAGTAACCGTGACCGATACCAAAAGTAAACAGTGGCAAAACTTGTCAGAAATTACATCACGCACCTAACCCCTACCTTCTTGTGACGCAACCTTCATCGTGATTACAGAGCTCATATCTATCATCAAAAGTAAACAAATGCGAAAACGTGGAGCACTATAAACAAACGTGAAGTTCTCTATCTCACCATAAGTCATTAACAAACAACAAATATTTATTTAACAATGAACTAATTGAGTTGAAAGTGGGTGTAGTTACCTTCTATAAATTCATCATTGAATGCACGCCATAGCGCCAAAATATTTATTTTCTTTTTGAAATAATAATCTGAGACCTCTATTTTGAATAAATCTCTCCATTTGAGTTTTGAACGTATAATAATGACATGTTGATTATTAGGATACAGCACACTATGAAATTAATAGAGTTCTTTGGTAATGGTAATATGATTAAACTGTAATCCAGCTATCTAATCAAAACTAATGACGCATTATATGGAATTAAATGGGATTTTAGAATTTATATTTCTCTACAACAAATCCCATTAACTTGACAACAAAAAAATACTTTTCAATCTTCGACATACATACCAAAGTTAATCAACTATCACTTGTTAATTTTCTATTTAAAAGTTTTTCAGTTTAGATTCGTAATATAAATACCAATATACCATATTCGTAATAAGTTTTTTCCTATTGCACTAACTATGAAATTCCCATAAATACTCAGACCAACTTTAATATAATGTAGGTAACAGAAACCTTATTTGGATATTAATTTAGACGATTTCAACGCCATGAGGAATCTTAAGATTGTGTTCTAAACTACACTGTGCATCGAAGAAATTGTTTGTGTGTATTTAGAAAAACGTGATATGAAACGCCATAATTTCACAATATTTTTTTCAGAATATAATAATAATTCGGAGCTCAACGTTGCTGTTGCTAGCACGTTTGGTCTCAAACTGTAGAAGATAAGATTTGTAGCAGACTATTCACAATTTATATTATCATCACAATTTATTGAGTTCTTAAGTACATCGGAAGGCACATTAGAGTGTTAGACACGGCTGAGTTTGCAGTCATAGATATTCGCCAATTCACACCAGGCAGAACATTGGCTTATGATGAATAATGAGGAAGTATTTAAAAACAAACAAGGAAAGCACTAAAAAAGCACCTCACTAGATGGCGACTCTAGCAAAAGTTGATTTTTGCAGGAAACGAATGGACCAAAGACAGTCATTTCCGTTCCTATTAACTAACATATAAAAATACTGAAATTTGAAAAGTTCCATATAGGTATAGATATCAATACAAATACGAAAAAGTACAAATAGAATATGAGTTGTTTATTGAGTTTTGAAAACTAATTTACTTTTAAACATGGAGAAATCAAAAACGTACCGTAGCGACATCTAGTTAGATTTCGGGAACAAATGTTTTTTCACATTACGCTAATAAAATAGAACTAAGGTTGTAGCAAGGCTCAGAGAATAATCAATATCCTACATACCAATTTCTAAGCAAAAGATTAAATGTAAAAGATAAGGTTATAGGTGTAAATATATTAATAAATAAGTTTTAACTATGATAATCTATCAATATAATCTTTGCACTTAGCGCCATTTCTGATTTTATGCAGCGTATATCAGAACTAGATTCTGCTCGTATTTATATTCTCTAAGACAGGGTAAAATAAAAACTAAATGAAGCAAAAAGAGTACATTTTCGATCAAGTGATCTCACCTCTGATCTGGTCTATGGGAGATTGACTGGCACCAGACGATCCACTTCCAGCTGAGGTGACAGCAACTGTAAATTAATGTCAATTGAAATTTGTCACCCAAAGATTATAATTTCCGTGTATAACGGAACAAGTCCATACTGAAAAAAAAAATCTTCTATCTCCAACATTTGTAATGTCAGTTGTTTTAATAAAAACTTTAAAAAGTGCAGAATAAATTAAAGAATATATCGACTATATCGTAAAAAAGAATGTTTGACTTGTATATATTGTACATAAACACATAAATTTATAATTTATTTCTTTCTAGTAGGCTAATAGAAATTAACGTTTTTACTTATGTGAATAAAACGAATTTGCCTTGATTTCTATTGAACACGGTAACTCTGTTCCGATGGTGAAATTCGGTCGTTCGGCAAAGTTCGCGTTCAGTTTCCAAATTTGTCCTTACAAAATGGTTCCTATATGACCAATTTTAATTGATTAAAGAAACACTTATATACAAGGAAATTACTTTGAGAAATGAATCAAGTTAAAAAAAAAAGCAACAATACCTATAACGAAATCAGTACAAAGATCTTCGTAGGAGAGCCGTTTTAAAGTAAATATCAATATTTATCGTATGATTATTGCTTATACACATCATTAATCATCGTTGTTATTAAAGCGCTTGTTTTCAGGTTATAATTTCTGAAACGCAATGTTTTTGTTTGAATTAAGATAGGAAAAGATAATTAATTTTATAAGGAAAGTATTATCCTGCACGTAGTAGATAAACCGATATTTTAAAATACGTGATTTAAATAAGACCAAATATTCCCAACTCGATAACATCATTTAGTATTTAGCGATTCAAACTGGTTTCTGAGCTTGAGGTCTAGAAGTCAAACCGAACATTTGGCTAGTCATATCTATTAATTAATGTTACGTCAAGGTAAAATAACATCTTCGTCATAAGATTAAGTGTAATAAACATAAACGTTTCAATGACTCAAATAAATGCTTTTGAAAATGTAACTCGCATTATTTATAAAGAGCATCTTAACAGAAGAATGAAATTTTACTGGAAAATATTATAAGTTCCACCAACGCCATGCACCAACAAGTGCTTGCAAAATTCGTCAGTAATGTTAGGTTCTGGGTCAGTTCAGTGGTTAGAGCAGTCGTCCGTATTGGGAAAGGTCATGGAAGGGCTGGTGGATTTTTTAAACATTTTTCATTAAAAATATTTGCCAGAAGAATGTACCTAACTTATTATCATTTGGTATATGATTCATTATACGATATTTTGTTATCAATAACAAACCTCTTTCCTGTTGCTTCACTCTTGCTTGAGCACGCTGCAGTTCTTTATTCCACGCACTGGTCTCGGACAGTCCTTGATCCCCGCAAAGTTTTACTATTAACTTTAAACCTGCATAAGCAAATAAATGTTGCTTATAATTATCATTTATTTTTATTAACTAAGCGTTTTGTGAAAATTAAACATGAATTTTAATCGTTTCGGAGATGATATAATCGCAAAGGTGACTTGAAATACATAAGTACCTATCTAATTTTTTTATAAATAATCAGATTCTCATTTTGAGCACAGGGTTTCCCCTTTTGTACTCCTTATAAAGAAAATACAGGGAGTATTAAATTGGACACAGGCTTTCCTAATTTTTTTCTCCTAATAATTTGTTTTTATAGAAAGAAAGGTTTTGAAAATTTATTTACCGGTTTTTCTATGACTAATTAAATTTAAATCTGCTTTTAAATATTAAAAAATTTACGAGATTTTCTCCTCCAGAGTTTTTGTTTTTCTTATACTTTTTCCTTATTTTGGACTGAATATCAAGCTAAAGTTATATCACCTAAATTATATCATAACAACAGTAAGAATATTCTTCAAGGTGCCTTTCAAGAATGATCATATGAAGATACAGAGGATCATTATCAGTAAATAAGTAGGGAATGTTACTTTACATGAAATTATATATACATAAATTTCTATTATACTTTATGTTGTCTGTGTTTATGTGTAGCTTATAAGTGATGTATGTTCAATAGTTTGTGACAGTTTAACAATAAGGTACTGTCTTGCATCGGGATCATTTTAATCGAGCGAATTTAATTCACAATTGTATGGCGGCCCCCTTAAATATTTATTTTATTCAGGTTTTTAGTATTTGTGAAATTTCAACTGTCTAATTTTCTCAGTTCATGAGATAAAGACAGACAGCGAAGCCTTAGTTAGGCTCCCGTTTTACCTTTTGTTAATTTGTTTCTATTTCTTCCCATAACTTCGTTTTCAATTGCCTATCATGGTAGTTTGCCTAAAATTTGTGTCATAGGGGAGTCCATTTTGATTGGTATTATAAACATTTCAATATCAATTTCGCCATTGTCTGCGGCCGAAGAATAGACGGGAGACGAACCACGTAACCGCTAGTGCTGATGCACGACTGAACAATCGCGAAAATCTGTGGCTTAGTAAACGCGATTTTTTTTCCTCGTGATTCATTTTCCGCAAGTGTGGATATTCCCACATGATTCAAATTGTTGCAGATTTGCGATAATAAATTTGCGTGAAATGCAATCGCGATGGGGACAGTCCCTCAGTCAGTTAGATAACAAAGATTTTTTTTTCCGTCCGAAATACATGAAGATGTTAGTTCAGGCATTTGTATTGTTTTTAACATAGAGGTTATAAGTATCATAATAAAAACATCAATTAAATTTCAACTAACATTGAACGTTGTCTGGGAAACGGGCGTTCATCTTCTTATACAGCACGAGCGCCTCCTGGTAGCGGCCACTGGCCCTCAAACATCCGCCCATTAGAAGTCCCCATCGTGGCTACCGATAGATACATTATTAAATTACCTACACACACACCCGCACATGCACGCCATTGGACGCACGCACACAAACAATAGTAGCAGTAGGTTTCCATACCCCAAAGTGTAAAAGCGGAACACTCATAGAAATATGTGTCTGTCTGTCAAACTTAATTTGCACAGAAACTAGTAAACCGATTGAGTTGTTTGATTATTTTTTTAAGTTGGTGACCAAATGACGGATGTAACCGTAAAAGTAATAGATTCTGACTCATTTTGAAATATAAGAAAAAAAATTCAAACAAATTTTGATGAAATTCGATTATTGCCAATCACTGTTAAAAAGTTATAATCCTTACTTGCACTTAAAATTATATCCTTATATTTATTTAAATTTTCCTAATTGCTATTAAAACATTTATAAAAGAATAAATGTGGCAAATGCCTAAGGTGGACCAGGTTTTAGATGGCATTAATATTCCTCGTCCCACACTACTGATTCTGTAGCCAAGTCATTTTATGTCAAAGTTATTATGCTGTGGAGTTCTCTGCCTGTAATAGTGTACTACTGGTTCTTGGTATGAGACTGGTGCACCCACCCTATTGCAAGAAAATCTATTATGAGTTGTTGTATTTTTTCATGATATATTTTGGCATTAAACGATTACACTAATAGTTGTAGTTACATTTCCGGGTTGCAATCGAGCAGCTTTTCTATAATATTGTATAGCGATGTCTGGTGGTGATTCACTAGCGAGCCACTCTAAGGCCGATATTTCGCAAGGCCACACTGCCTCCACCTGGAATTAGAAATAATCATAATTAGGTTGAAGTTTTGTTTTTTTTGTAATAAGCATAATATGTGAAGATACAATTGAAGTAGTTCGGTAGCGTATACAATTGAAGTAGTTAAGTAGTAGAGGATAAGCGCCGCGGTCCGCGATCGTTGTTGTTAGGCAACTTTCGAAGGGTTGATCACGGAATGGGTGACCAAAAAAATATTATCTCGAGCTACTTCGTGCTTCGGAAGGCACGTTAAGCCGTTGGTCCCGGCTGCATTTGTAGTCGTTAATACCCTCCAATCCGCATTAGGCCAGTTTGGAGGGTCATGGACCATCCTCCTTAACCATCCATAAGGAAGGCCTGAGCCCCTGCAGTGGAGACGTGAAAGGGCTGGCGATGATGATGATGATGATGATGAATTGATCTGCTATTGTATGTTTACACAATTTTATGTGAATGGAATTTCGGGAAATCAGATTGAAAACAGAAACTAAAGTTTAGTTTAATAATAAGATATAAATGTTATTAAGTATTCGGTATTAAATAGTAAATAGCTCATGAAGTGTATCCCAGGAGCACTAGAAATAAAAATAGGCTAGTTCTTGACATAGTCCCAAAAAGCGCGCGATTTAAAAATAACTGCTACTGTATGATTATTAATAAGATTCCGGAATCTATAAAGAATACACCTTTTACTAGATTTAAGAGAGAGTTATATAACTGGCTTGCTGAGCGTTCCTTTTATTCGTTGGATGAGTTCTTAGACTATAGAAACTGAACGTTAGCCTGGGGTGGATTAATCAGTGCTTATAGTATTTTCTTTTACTACGTTTGCATGCTATTGTTAATGGCTGAATAGGCGATAATTGTATTACCTTTTACATCTTTTTTGTATACCCTATTCAAACGCAAATAAATTATTATTATTATTATTCAATTAGAAATTTATGTTTTTTTTTTTTAATTGGTACTGCTATAATCTACGGTGATATATTATTTATTTGCCCACATCTTGATAATGATGTTTCGCGGTCTGCATGTCCCCCATCTCACTATGTAGCTGCGCCAGAGCACACGTTACTCCGACGTCCCAGGTTCCGATCATGCTATACCTGTCGTTACCAAAATTTTATTATATTGCATGCACAATAGTACAGAGGCAGATTCAATACATTGGACATTCTGTATCAATTAACCTTTGGGTAATATGGAGAATATATTAATGAAGGAGATAATGTAACTTAAGATATGAATATATTTAATTTCAGCTCTTAGCATAGTCTATTTCAGCGGTTCTCAAATTCATAATTTCATCTACTGACTTCATAAAACACATTTTTCGATAATTTTTGATAGGAATTGACACTGCTTCTAATGAACATATAATCTGGACATGAATCATGGATATGATTTTAACTTCATAAGAAAGATTTGGAATTTTTAAAATTTTTGTACGAGTAAAGGTCCTTAGGTGTCATCTGAATTCGAGTAATGGCTGCTTTACCGTAATTAGTATTAACATACTGAGCATTGAAAAAATAAGAAGTAGATTTTTCACTTCATTTTAAGTGATTAAGTTTATGTAAACACAAAAATAAGTAACAAGTAGTAAGTAAAAATGTCGATAACTACTTATGAGCTTCATTGAATTTAAAATGAGAATCTATTTAATTACGTATAAACACGCCGTTAGTACACTGACGTAATTGCACGCAATTGTATGGCAATGTTGCGTTGTCTCGCTCTATTATTAACTCGATGAAATAGCTGCGTCCTTATCAGTACGGTTTCGTCACTGCGATAAACATCGTTACGCAGATGCATATATTTCGCATCCAGGGTTCCCACCCATCCCGATTTCTGATGACTATCCGAATGTCACGAATTTTGTTTCTTCAAAGGTAAACCCTATTTCCATTCGCATAGTTTCGCTGATGTTTCTAACGTATCTCATTTCATTATTATTATGATTTAAATAATTGTCGCGTTATTTATTACATACTAGTGGCCGCCAGCGACTTCGTCCGCGTTTTCCATTATTTCTTCGCTCCTAATAGTTGCAGCGTGATGTTATATAGCCTAAAGCCTTCCTCAATAAATGGTCTATTCAACACAAAAATATTTTTTCAATTCGAACCAGTAGTTCCTGAGATTAGCGCGTTCAAACAAACAAACAAACTCTTCCAGTTTTATAATATAGATAAATTGGTATTTTCCAAAAATTTATGCAATAAATTAACTAACTATGTAATAGTTATTAAATTATTTGAACGACATTTTGGGATTATTCATATTTCAATAATTAATTTATCTCTTCGACTTTTTATCTATACTTTCGAATTTTCTATCTATACTTTCTATTTTAATAATAGTCAATAATATTAATTAGCTTCTAATAATAAATACATTTTTAATAACGTTACGCGGTTGTCATTTAGACAAGGTTCCAGCGCATTAGCAATTTACGGAACTTATAATAAATCTAAGCTAAATTGAATTTAATATTAGAATCTACTTGATTAGGTACGTGTGAACCAGCCATTATACAGTATAGTACCAGTGGTCGGCGGCGGCGGGGTCGGGGCCGCGTGCGCGCGCCGCCCGCGCCAGGCCCGCGGCGGAGAGCGCGCGCAGCGTCGCCCCCGCCCCCCGCGACCCCCGCACCCGCGCCCACCGCGCCTCCGCCGCCTCCAGGGAACCCTCGCTCCCACTCTTCTCGAGGGCCAACGCTATAGGCAATGAGTCAACATGATTCATTGAAAGTGCGTGTATTTTGTTTGGTATCTGTCTACTCGTATACTAATAATTTAAGATGATTGTATGTTTGCAACGAATAGACCCCGAAACGGCAAATAAGCGCCTGAGTGATGATAGTGTTCTCTGCTATGGTTTAGCTTATTTTAAAACATATCGACATTAAAATCAGTATAATTAATAAACTAGTAATAAAATATAAATACTCGGGAACTCCTATTATATTAAATATATAAATTGAAATGAGCGATCTGTCGATGAGAACGGGCCAATATACCGTGTCGCCCTTACGCCGTTAGTACACCGACACATTCGGATGCGAATGCGAAACATTAGCGAAATCTTGTCAGTTTTATGGCAATGTTTCGCATGTTCTTTCTCTCGCTCTATTATTAGCCTGATGAAATAGCTGCGTCCTTGTCAGTACGGTTTCGGAGTTAACTGCGAAAAATATCGCAACACAGACGCACGTGTTTCGCATTCAGGGTTGCTAAATGATAAATAGAATTTTGTTGATAACCCTGTTCGCATTCACGATGGTTTCACAAACGTTTCGGTGTGCTAACAACGTTATAGGCCGGACAGACTCACGCCGAGGAGCCCCGAGTACACCCGATACTCGTGAATATGAAATGTTTCTCGCCCTCTCATTCCATTATATTTCTTCTCGATACACCTCGGCGTGAGTCTGTGAGTACCGCTCTATACAGTACCGAGGTCATGCATGGCCACGAGGTCGGCGGGGTCGAGATGCGTGGCGGCGGCCAGTTGCTGCGCGGCGTGGTGCCACGCGGGCGGCGAGCACTCCTCCGCGGCGGCCGCGAGCGCGCCGGTCACGCGCGCCGCGCAACCGTACGGGTCGTCACGTGACGCCAGACCGCTCAACTGACGCGCCTCCGACCAGTTGCCCAACTATACCACGGTCGCCGGGAAAATACAAATATATACCTTTCTCTACAAGGAATGTGCAGTTGGCAATACATAATAATAACTACATTGTAGCCCACTCTTGTGTATCTAGACAAGTCTGTTCCTGCAGTCAAATTAATTTACTTGTAATATAAAATATTTGGGTATCATGATTGATAAAACGTTGAGTTTTCACCATCTTGACCTTCTTTAGAACTGAACCCGTTAACTGATTTATATCTTTAAAAACTTGCGAGATGTTGCCGACACAAGTGTTTTGAAAATGATATACCAAGCTTTATGTCAATCTATATTGAGTTATTGTATCATAGCGCGGGAAGGTACACCAAAGACTAATTTACTAAAGGTTGAGAGAGCTCAAAGAGCGGTTAAGGTCAGTTTTGGTGTACTATTTCGTTACCCTATTAAGGAACTGTATTCAAAGGATGATGTCCTGACAGTGCGGCAACTATTTATTCTCAATACTATATTGAAACAGAACAAACCTTTATAAAATTTGATCCTTCACTAACTACATCCAATTGCCTCAACATAAGATCTGCCAATATACAGTTTCATGGTTTAAAAGTTTTTCATAAAGATTCTTTGTTTTTCTGGGTGTAAACTTGAATAATAACATAAAGATACAGATTTATTCATAAACTAAATTATGTGCAAACGGGCCCAACTTCATGGTTTAAATCTCTTAATTATGTAGACACTGAGAATTTAATTATTATCCCTTCGTAAATTTTTAAAACATAGCAATATATATATAAATATAAAAATTGAAGACACTATTTAAAAACCCATTCATAACACACACATATAAAGGTACAAAACAATTTACACACCCGCACATATAAGCACACGCACGCGCGCGCTCGCATACGCACACACACCCATATACACACACGCTTTTACATATATATATTCGTTTATAGCTACGTATTTCAAAGACATTTCGCACACCACAATTACTTTAATTATTTTTATGTAATATATCACTGGTACTTCATATAATTTTTACCAGGTTCAGGATTGGAGAAGCAGATTATTTGTCATACATTTTTACACCATAAACAATTGCTTTCGGAATTACAAGTCAATTATTTGATCAATAAGACTCACGATTTGTCGAACCTTAACAATATATTATTTTTAGATTTGTGTAAATAAATGCCATATTATATAGTATCACTGTCGTTTTCCACATGTAATGTTATGTTATGTCTTATTTTTGACTATCTGCCACAGGACAAAACGCATCATACGTAAAATTCACGGTACTTATATTACGGTACTAATATTTAGTTAAAGCCTTGTTCGACTTTAATTTAAGTAATCAATAATAAATCTTACTGCATACGCCACAAACGCCGCGTCGGCATTAGCCTCAGCCTTCAACACCCTATCATTGGGATGTGCACGTGCGACTGCCTTCAATCTTTGTAACGTCTTCATTCCGGTCGCGACCGCCGGCGAATGAGCACGCGCCGCTCTCAAAGCAGCTAGGGCTCCCCCCAGCTCTAGCCGGGCCCCTGCACCGCCACCGCTGTAGCCTCGTAGGGCTTCCACACACCATGACATACCACTGCAACCAGATCAAATAGAATCTCTTTGTACAAAAAGTAGGTAATTTTGCAATCTAAGATGTAAAGTTTTTAGATTGCAAAATTACCTACTTTTTGTATTTACGGGTGTAGACGATTTTTTAAAATCTTATATATATAAAAATTTTGTGTCACGATGTATGTTGCCAATAAACTCCAAAACTACTAAACCAATTTTAATCAAGATTCACATGGACCCGATTTTGGTCTAACTTACTGGATAGGATAGTTATCATCTCAATTAGTCGCTTATGTCGTGAATGTAAACGAAAAAAATGTACTAATTAATTGTTTCTTAAGCAAGTGTTTATTTACTGTTTAGTTTTATGAAGTTCTCATAGATGGCGGTGTACGTTGATTCATAGATAAAATTCTTCAATATCGTTTGACAGCTAAGTATCAAATACACCCAATAGATTGCGTTGTGTTCTATATGGCGTTTATTCTAAAGTAATCCACGCTGGCCCATTGCGGATTAAAGTGTATTAACGACTGCAAATGCAGCCGGGTCCAACGGCTTATCGTGCCTTCCGAAGCACGGAGTAGCTCGAGATAATATTTTTTTGGTCACCCATCCCGTGACCGCCCCATGCGAAATTTGCTTAACGACTACGATCGCGGGCCGAAGCGCTTATCCATTACGCCATCGAGCTACTCAGCTATATATGCGTTAGAACTTACTTAACGTATTATTCGTAGATTATTTTATATACGTATACATTTTTTTTTCTATACTAATATTATAAAGAGAAAAGATTTGATCGTTTGTTCGTTTGAATAGGCTCCGAAACTAATGGACCGGTTTTAAAAATTCTGTCCAATAACGGCAAATAAAGAATTAAAACGCTGTCATATCAACCATTGTTTAAGAGTCAATTTGTCGTTGTAATTCACAATCATGATAGGAAACCTAATCCAAATGATTTATCAAACTAAATTCTAACCCTGAATTTGGATTTAGTTTGGGCTACTTTTTATTCCACTAGACAGTTCTGTAGGGAAGTAAAAAAGCTATTCTTATATCTTACATTAGACTAAAGTATCCTACAAACTATAAGTTACCCAGTATCGTCGTCCCTGGAGGCGGGGCGCACTAGCGCGGCGGCCGCGAGCGCGAGACATCGCTCAGCGTCCGCGGCCGCGCGACGACACCACCGCGACAAACGATCGCCCCGTATCACGTCGCGGAGCACGCATTCGTATGCGTCATTCTCCTACATTTCAACAAGTCAAGTATAATTGAATACGAAACAATATGAAGAAAAAGGTGTGAAATCGTTTTTTTTCTACGACAAAAAACTTCCTGAGTACGCTCATGTATCTTACGCTCAAAGATCGAAAACGCTCATTGAGAAAATAGTTCAAAACGCGTTATGGTCACAGTAAAATCCACATATGCGAACTTCGCGTTATGTATGGCTCTTATGGAAACGTCCATGACGCATTATGGCATTCACAGAATAATAACATAGCGAAATCTGTGTCGTGGTTGTCGTGCTATTCGAACACAACGCGTTGTGGCAATGAAGAAACACCATGATGTGTATTGAACCATATTTGATTAGGTTAAAGTATGACAAACAATGCACGAGCCGAGCGAACAAAGCGAGCGTACCGCGGCAGCAGCCGGCGAAGTGCCTGAAGCAAATCGCTATTATAAAATTAAACATCTAGTTAAACCAATTAATGCTCAGTACGCGTCGTGGATTTTCTTCATTGTCACGATGCGTTGAGGTCGAATAGCAACGACATGGATTTCGCTATGTGGTTATTCTGCGATTGCCACAATATTGTGTCGTGAGCGTTTCCACTATAGCCATAATACGAATTTCGCTATGTAGTTATTTTGCGATTGACACAACGCGTTGTGAACTATTATTTCGCTCAATGAGCGATTTCGATCTTTGAGTGTGGCATTTATAAAAGCGTACTAGGAAGTTTCTTTTTTCGTAGAAAAACAATAAACGATTTCATACCTATTTCCTCAGTATGTTAAGAATTGGGTTTTAAGGTTTTGGGACTAAAATAATATAAAGTTAGATTTAGTTTTTCATAAGTACTTTAAAGATTAATTTCACATATTTATAATATATAAGATATAGACATAAATATATATCGTGTATTTACGTGTGGAATTAAAGAATTAAAGTAAGAAAAGGATTAAAGTGATAAATTAATTTACGTCATCAATAGGAATATCTTGATGACATGTGGGTGGTTCTACATCAAGCATAGCGTGGAAAGCCGCTTTTCCGCCTTCCGGATCACTCAAAGCCACTGAACATAGCACTAAATGTAGACCTAAAACAAAATATTTAGAACATAATACTAAAACGATAAGACAAAATATGTAGTAAGTAAACGTATGTACATTATCTTATTATATATTTTAAATAGCTTTCCGCCAGCGGCTTCGCCCGCGTGGTCTTGTATTATATATAAAAACCTTCTTTTTGAATCACCCTATCTATGAAAAAAAAACCGCATCAAAATCCGTTGCGTAGTTTTAAAAATTTAAGGATACATAGAGACAAATAAAGCGACTTTGTTTTATACTATATAGTGATTTACTTACATAATTTAACTTTAAATACAATGTGACTAGAAATTAAGAACAGTGTTTCAATATTTTTATAAACTTTTGCTTAGTGAAATATTCTTTCATTTCATTATTATGGCACAGTTAGAGGGCATTGTTTTATAGATTTATTTTCAACTATGTTTTTATCAAAATAATATTAAACGGCATATTATAATAATACGTTTATAGAATTATGTGTTGGAATGTGCGGTATCGATGTATGTATTGTAGTGATATTTTTGTAGATTACCTGTTTGGAAATCGCCTTGTTCATGCATGATGTGTTGAAAATTGGTAACAGCATCTCGAAATTTGCCCATGCGCACCAATAACAAGCCGATGTTGTGCATCACTTTCATTCTAAATTCGAAATATTATATTAATAAGAGATAAAATTATAAACTTATAAGTATACAAACAGATATGAACTTCACTGCAGTTATTTACAAAAACAAAGTTATATTTGAAGGCCCCTGTACAATGACGAATGATTCACTACGAGGCTGAGCGAGGCTAGTGCAAATTGCTTAATATTAGCTATTTCAGAAACAGTCTTGATCAACGGCTAAACATGCGTCCCAAAGTACAAAGAAGCTCAACGTTTCATTATTGACTTTAAGACAGGATTTACTAATGTTAACCTCCGCACTCCGTAATCGTTTTTGGCAGTATCTATAAGATCCAACTAATATGATATGGCGCATGATGTATCTTCGTTTATGCAGTACGATATCCGAAGGTGACCATACGTTTGGTATGATTAAAATTTATAATGAGTCTTGTTTCAATGACTATAAAGATTAAAACATGATGCATTCAGGATCACTCTCTGGCAGGATTCAAGCGCGTGGATTTGCTGACATTTGACGTAGTTCGTCATTTCTTTTCTTGCATTATGTGCATGTACATCACTGAGTCCCGTTAGTTGTATCTTACTATAGCATCGAGCTCATATTTTCTTCTAAATAGCCCAACTCATACTACGTATAAAACTATGCCCATTAAACTCTTCTTGCACTATGTATAGAGCACGGTTGCTGAACAGAAAGAGTTTCGTGACCTTAATATCGTAAACATTTTAGGTTCATTTTACTGAAGAAATTGGCTAGATGTATCTGTTCGAGCGCAATAGCAATATGTTTGTGCACGAGTGAAAGAGATATGAAGTGCCTGGTCCTTGTTCGAAATTCACTCTGTACGACGACCGTGCAATAACTAAGCTACTTTAAGCTATTTCTGTTGCTGATGAATACCAATTAAAATGAAATTTAAACCTTAAGTCTTTTTCAGCAGTTGGTGTTTGATCCAAAGCCATCCGATATAATTTTAACGCTTTTGGGTGTTCACCCATTTTGAAATAAATATTTCCCATGTTTACCTGAAGAAATAGCGCTTGTAAGACACCTTAATTTAGAATATTTAGTTTTTTTGTACTTTTAGTTTCATATAAAGATATTATAAATACCTTCAAACGATTTGCATGTGGAAATAATTTATTTCTTGTAAGTAGTTGGTAAGTATTTAAAGCCTCTGTATACATCTCATTTAATGCATATTGTCCTGCTAAGTTGCACAGAACCTGTAAAACAAAAATATAACTATGTACGTAGAGTCGATAGCAAATAAAGCTACTATAAAAGGCTAAATATCTCCATTAGACTTAAACCTAAATCTATCAATAGTTACTTCATCAGATGTGTGTACTCACAGTAGGTACTACCAAAAACTCCATACAATACATACTTTTGTTATTCTAAATATTGATGTTTATGGGCAACATGACATACAATGGCATAGTAGAATTACTATATAATTATATGTAACTTTTATTATAGAAGTTCTTACTGTTGAAGGTAGACCTTGTTTACGTAATTGAGATGCAACTATTGAATAAATGGATGATATTAAGTATTAATGTTACAACTTACAGCAAAAGTCAAATCCAAATTATGGCTATCACCAAGGTTGGCGTGTTCCTGCATTCGAATCAGCTGACGTTCCAGTGCTGAAGCTTCTTGTGCTTTCGCTAGCGCCTGTATAGATAACAAGTATAGTTTGAACTGCTTTTGTTGATGGGATATAAAAAGTACATACCTATATACATAATGTCGTATATATATGTAGGTATACAAAAAACACTAAATGATTTACTGCAATTCAGCTCATACAATAGGATGATCACTAATTTTTGTTTGTTTGTCCGTCAGGTAGTGTTAAAAAATATTAAACACGTATTTTTTTATTTTTTCGTAATCATAAAATTACGGCGTTACATTGAGTTGAAATATCGCATGACGTCACGTTAGAGTACGTTTTCTACTCAACTGTGACGTAGCGAGCCCCACTCCTCAACTTTAATGCCTGTAATCTATACTATTTCTTGTTAAATTGAAGTAAAAAAAAAAAATACGTATCTAATATTTTTCTATAATATTTTAGACTAACGGACTAAATAGAAATGCATTTTTTTACCCAGTCATCATCCCTATTATTAAATAGGCATTCTAAATACTCATGAGTTGCCGAGTTAAAGCGTACGTTGAGGGAGCGTAAACCTCTGGGTAAAATCAGTCTTTTGAACCTCTGGGTAAAATTAACTAATTTTGAGTAACTTAGTCGTTATTGAAATGAATTAATACGAATCAGGATACTATCATCCGGTTTCTGAATTGGGAATTTAAAGTCATGAACGTCTCGAATGTTTAAACGTCACTTAAACAGGTTTTTGATTGTGATTTTAGTTTATTTTTAATTATCAGTTAATAGCGGTTTGATAAAACTACGATTTTTTTAAATTGTGAAACGTGAATTATTGAAACTTTATGAATTGTGAAACGTGAAAATTTTTAATTATTGAGAATAATCAGTTGAGATTTTATACTTTTCTCAATTCAGAAACCGACTGTATGAAAACAGAATCGCTATTTCCAGACGATATGTGTATGGTGATTGATATATGTAACGGACAACTACAGCTGAGAACTGGTAAGAAAGGTATATTAATACATCGTGTTATTTTAATCCCACCTAAATGCTTAACGTTTTAGTTGGAATTGGAATAACATAAAATACCTAAATTATATTAAATAAAATATTATTCTAAATGAAAAATGCTATGAGATGGTGGACTTTTTTTCGTATTTTTCATTAATAATATCTTCCAGTATAACATTGTGAATGCTAAATTGATAGAACACAATATTTAAAACATGAATAACAAGAGCCACTCAGCCACGGAAGTCGTCGACGGTATTAAAGTGTCTACATCTCTGAGGTTCTTTTGAATGGAGAAAATTGCATTTTCTATAATCTGGGATGCTTTTGTTGTTTAAGATTTCCATAATACTATTGCTTCAGCTTCTTAATTTGGCATCTGAACAACATATGTGATGCAAAAAAGTTATAACCGTTCCGTTAAATTACCTGTCCTAAGTCATAATCCCTCTTGACAGCGGTATCATCGTCAGGGTCGGGGCGAGCGCTCAACATGCATGACTCCTCTACGAGTGTCATTATACGAGCTTCCATTTGCTTGACTTTCTCCTCGATACTATAGAAAGATAACATTAACACCAGTTGAAAATCAAACGTCAACTTCTTCATGTAACTGCTTCCAATCGTCAGTAATTCACCAGGTTCTACTAGTAGGTAGTCAATTTAATTTCAATGTTTCTAAATGCAGAAATCAAATTTTCAGTAAATTTTGCAGGGTTATTAGGAGAGTAAGGAAACCGCATAATTTTTTGTCTGAATATACCTACACTTTGCAGCTACTGCATCCACTTAAGTATACAAGAATTATTAAATAGAACTTTTTTAAACGGTTTTAATAGCGTGTATTAAAAAATTAAATAATAAAAATATTCAAAAATACACGTCATAAAACAGTTTAATAGTACCCAATGACAACTTTTTAATACATCATCGGTAGTACCTAGTTTTATTTAATAAATAGGGCGCGTGAAAATAGAAGGAACCAGTGGGTTCAAATATTATTTTTCAGCCTACAGTTACGCAATATAACATATTCGATTTCAACACTTCGCATCTTTATATTTTTATAAATTAATTCATATCTTCTCTTAAACTCATTAGAAAGAAGTAATGCGTAAAATGTTTAATTCAACAGAGAAATAAATTTTGGTGCATTTCTACGAGACATTAAAAAAAGTATTGAATCGGCTCCACAAAGAGCCGACCTACATCACACTACTTACTATGAATAAATGTGGTTCTATGTATGTGTTATAGTATACAAGCTGTTATTCCACGACTTCACTCACGTAAATTATAGTCTTTACCACCTTGCATTTTGAAAGCATTTTCGTGATCGGATTTGTATTTTCGAAGTTCCTACAAACGAATAAAAAACTTTTCATTTTTAGAATTTTAGTATACCTTTCATCCTTCTTATCGTCTTTGGTGGGCGTGTCACGAGCGGCACGCGTGTATCCAGCGGCGCGAACCGCAGTAACAGGTCGTGCGCCCGCGCCGCCTCGCGAGCTAACCGCCCTTCCCCCTACAGTGCCCAACCGGAACATCTATGTAGATACACAAGGACACTAATGACGCCACAAATAACTACCTACTATAAAAATATTTTATCAGCTGTCTCCATCAACACTTATTATATAGGTGTCTAGTCCTTGCTAGAATTAGAGGCAAGGCTATTTACCTACAACTAGAAAGGCGGAAACGGTTATGAATGAAATTTTGTACAGATGACTAAAGAGATTCTTCGAATATTTTTAAAGAAGCTTGTAGGCAGAAGCAAGTTAGTTAATTTTTTAGTACACGTGCATGGATATCAATTTGCTTATCAAGTGTCAACAACTTAGTTTTGTACGGAGGAATGTAGGTAGGTAGTGTTATTTAAAACTAATACTTATAGTATAGATAATATTGGTGTTTTAGATTTACACGAGCTTAGTTTGGAGTTGATATCGTTAAAAGATAATAGTTAGTAAAAATACGCTTAGCCTTCTGAGTAAAAGTTGAATTACCCCTGTCCCCATTCGGCTGGGCGCCTTCTTCCCAATGCCGGCAGTCCGCAACGTCTCCTGGAAGGCGTGGTCATCCCTCAGGTTGCGAGTGTCCAGTGCCGGAGCCACCTCATTGAAACCACTATATAACTCGTCGTCTTCGTCTACCACTATCGCGGTCCGAGGTTTTGAATCCGTGCCCAGACGCGACGCGCTGTAGTATCGTGAACTTAACATGGTCAATAAATCTAAGTTTCTATTGATCACAATTTATAAAAACAAAATTATAACTGCCAGTTTCGTTTAATTTTTAATTCAATATGAACTTAATGACTTTACACTTAAGCTATGTTGTGACGCGGTAACCATAGCAACCAGACCAAAACTTTGAAGTGTGGTGCTAGTTTTTGGTCTCATAATATTTCGTCCATGCTTTGTAAACACAGTTTGCAAATATAGGTAAATATGACCATGACTTTGTGAACCTATGTCATGTTAAGTATAAAATGTATTCGCTTGCCAATTTCATGGTGTTTCATAATATCAAGATGGGAGTTGGTGTGATGATGTAATATGAATCAAAAAGAATTTAAATACATTTTATAACGTTAAAATATGTACTGGTATTCTAAAAGTTGTCGTAGAAGTCCAATCCAAACCTGAGTTTAAGGTTATATGGTTTTAAGTTAGTAAAAGATACGAGAATTAAAGTCCAAAAAAGTAGTTATATCGGTCAATGATGTTAAAAAATATAGAGCATCTTTGCGACAGTTCTATACAAAAGGTCGACAGTAAATCACGGAGATTAATAAAAAACATTGTATTACAAACAATAAAAATCGATATGAACTTTTTTCATTTTCTTTATGAAAACATATAACTTTAGCTATGAATAACGTACGACGCAGACACGAGACTTATGAGACGTTTACTAAACTGAAAGTTTATACGAATTGTCAGCTCATTATTTCCGAGGTTTATATGATTTTAATGGTAATTTTACTGAGCTATTCTAGTTGGTTCTGGGTCTAGTTTGTTGTCGAGAAGCTTATATAGCTACCATAGACATGGGATGGATACATTCGTTGTTTCCCATTTACACATATTTTCAGTGACATAAGCCAATTTAATAAGTTTATAGATATTTTTTTATTTATATATGTTTAAAATTAGGATCATAGGTGTAAAACAAAATGAATTGTGACAAAGAATAAGAAAACCAATATTAAGTCAATATTTATTACATAATCACTATTTTCAATACAATCAAAGTCCACCGCAATAACATCACTCCAATGAAACAACTAAAACAACTGACTGGAAAAAATGACATCACAATAAAATCACCTGATATAATCCTTTCATAGAACAGTGCTATTGGAAGACACTGACGACATAAATGTAGTAAAAACACTTGTTCAGTTACACACAAAAATCAATTCAAAAATAACTTTAAAGTCTACAATAGATGTAATTGTATAAAAGATATAATAATATAACATAAACAAATGATACTACGTCACCAAGACCCGACTCGACAACACCATCTAATTATACATTCAAAATATCGGGTATAAAAATAAACGATTTTAAAAATTTAATGAATCTTCGAAATCAATAACAATGATCTTAAATGTTTATTTACAAAATACAAAATTTCATAGGCAATGTGATTTACGTCTACTTAACGATGAGATATTATTTTCGTGACCCTAAAAGACTAGTAAGAAATGCAAATATTAATATTTTTTGTACATTTTCACTTATCAATAAGATAACACGAGATAAAAAATAATAGAAAAGACTATTAACGGCGATATGACTTACATGTTAACATTCAATAATTGTTAATTTCTTGTTATCAATATAATTTTATATATAAATATACATTATATTCCACATCGGTCACTGACACAAAGACACCCATACTAAACATACATACCAATTTTAGGCCAGACATACATATGTAATAAAATATAGTATATTTCTTTATTCTAGCACATAAAATATACCAAAGCTTTGATTTTTAATAGAGAAATTCGGATATATATTCAAAATGAAATATTTCCTTTTTAAGCCTTTGAACAGTTTTAGTATCTGTGTACATTATTTTGTATCTCTATTTTAGCAATTAAGTTTTATGTAATAAAAATTGAGAATCTCCTACCAGGGGAAATTGGTAAAATAAAATCGTATGTGCTAGTTTTTAACTAAATATAAGCGTCGTTGACGAATATATATTTAGCTGCTTGGCGAATTCTTTATTTCACAACCTTTCGGTGCACAAAAATGTTTAGTTTTATGCAATAATTTGGTTAGTATTGTTGTGCTTGTTTATCCATGTCACGCATTTGAACTGGGGACGAGTTAAGATCTTATAAAAATTTATATCCGGATAAGGCAAATCAGCAATTTATACATAAATACTCAACATGATTATAAACTCTCATCATGTATTCTAATATATTGTATTCTTTTGATGATTTTGGCCCAATTCTTATACATATTATGATTACCTAAATATGATTTTTGTAACATTTTTATTTTCAATATAAACCGAGATTGTGCTTATAATATTTTATAGCCTCATCATTACACGCTAGCTTTCTTTTATGTACATGACTAAGAAGTAATACCTAAATGCTATTTATTTTTATGACAAGTTTACGGACTTTTAAAAAAATAATTGCACCAAAGTTACTTTTCTATTCATAAAATTACGAAACGACTGTGTCGTGACCTATATCGCACCCAATTATATATAAATTATTAAATCGTCGTTTATATAAATCACTATTTTGATTCCGATTTAGGGTCACTGTAATCAAACTAGAAACCGTGCTCGAACGCATGCTGTCGAGCGCAAACTACCAAACAACGGCTGACATTTATTCCACATAATGGTAACGGTGCTATGTTTTCCTTGTCAGATACAGATAAGTATGATCAGCTCAAAAAGTATTTGAAACTAACCCATATAGGACGCGAGACGCCGATCTTTCAATACATTTTGCATAAAATAAGTCGATGACCCTTTGAAACATCGATTAATCTTATATGACTATACGATTCATACTGACTTTGAGCACAGAATTTCGTAGCAAAACTGTCTATGTTATATAAAAAATCTATTCAACCAGAATAGACGTGCGAATAGCTTCGAAGCTGATCATCTCTTACTCTTCGAACGTTTAGACCAAGACTGTTCAATCTCAAGCCCGCGGACCACGTTGTTTGCCTAATTTAACTGTATCACTGAGAATAACTAAAAAGAACAGTCAGTGGCCCGCCGTAAATATTCCTCCGTTTGGCCCGAAAGTCAAAAAGGTTGAGCAGCCCTAGTTTAGGAGATCTCGGGAATCTGCACGTGGAGGGGATCTATTAATTCATCTGCTAGAGAGAGGGAGTCGGGTGTATCGGCGACGAGTTCGCTAGATCTGCGTGGAGAAGCGCGGGCGCGGCAACTCGTACACGTCGCCGTGAACAGAACGCGCCAACGCCTTTATGCTCGCGGCTATATCTTGCGGCTCCTCCTATACCACAATTCAATACTTCACAACGCTGATAAGGCTGATAGCAGATTAATCCGAGCCGAAGGAAGGGAGCGAAACGATTTTTTTTTTAAACCTTGCATATAAATGACATTAGAATTCAAAATATTTCACTCGTACCGGTTTGCGGAAGACCGCATGTTTTCCAATTCCTTTCAAATTCATTTCTTTCACCCCCTTCGGCGCGTTTTATTGACTTCTTTTTTTGCCTTCAATCGTTTATTAAGCGATACGGCCTATTATAAAGAGTATCTTGCAAATAGTTGTACCAAATACAAGATATCGGGGTCGGGAAACTTCTGGTTTCAACATTGTGATCACAGTGAACTTATGGCTTGGTTTGCTTACCTTTACAGGCAAAAGTTGGTAGCAATTCTGTTGCACAAACTAAATATAGATTTAGTCCTGTCAAATTGCTTTGTGCAATAAAAAAAACTACTTTTGTTAGTAACTAAGACAACACAAGTAAAATTATTAAAGCAAGTATAGAGTACTACAATTATATTTCCTTGATATCATATGTCCGTTAAAAAAAATGTAAAAAGCGTTTATTACACGCGGTTACACACACCACGGTTGTTGTAACTCGGCCGAATAGTCGGAAAATATAGGTAAGTGGAAAAGCGTTAATATTCGCTAATCACTTGTAATTCCCGTTCCTTACAATTTATTACAATAAAATGTCAAACTTGAATATTAAAACAAATCCAAATAAAGTTTAAGATCTTTAGTTCAGTTTAGAATGGTATAACAGAATTGGGACCACTATATAACAAAAGATTATATTTTTATTTCAACCAATTGTAGTTCAAAGAACTTTTCCTGATATTTGTGCAGTGAATGGTTGATTGCATTTAATTCGTTAAACATCTGATAATTGATAGGTATAATGTTTTTTTTATGATAAGTATCATAATGGATGATGATACTAGACTTCATATTGTAATTGTGTAGATAAGTCCAATTTAAAATCATAATCGATTGTCACTAGTTAACATTGTCATAGGTACGATTGAAGAAAATTTAGCTTTGTGTTTATAATTTATTGCAATCAGAGAATTTGAGAGCCAAAAACAGAAAAGTTTTGTATTCATGATAATTATACTAAGAATCAAGTCCAGCAGTAACTATACTTACATAGATGCGTTGACAACGGATTGACTCAAAATACATTCAATTTTCAATACCATATTTTTATATACAGTGTGTATTTTCAATACATCGTGTTGAATCAAATCGTGTTCGATACTGTATTTAACATCGAGTGCATTTTGATTCAATCCGATCTCAAGTCGATGTCGCTTTGCGGAAAAAATAAAAATTACTCACATCGTCGTCCAAATCGTTTCGCGTTGGACGTTCCTTAGGAAACGGCATGTTGATTGGTAGAGAGCGAGCGATGTCAGCAGCACCATCCTCGCGTCGTGGCCGCGAGATGTGGATGCCCTCGTCATGACTACTCTCTATAAAAACACAAACAATTTTGATGGAACAAAATATATAATAGCCAAAAAATCCGGTTTTTATAATAAAAATTAAAAAATCCGTAAAAATTATATACACGACGTGTCCTTTTGGCCTAACTATAAAAAATATAAACTTAGTAAAAGTTATAACAGTTATCGAACCCTTTTTTAGTTATTTTTTTCATTATGACTTGTTAAAGTAAAGAATAATTATTTATAGATGAAATATTTTCGTTTAGGCTTAACCCTTACAATAGAACACAGTACTTAAATGGATGAGTTCCATAGAAAGCGATATGTTTTGTTTACTGTAAACACTCACACAATACTTTAGATTATTGTCTGTTGTCTGCCTGCCCTTGAAATTCACATATTAGATAAAACCACAAACCAAAATTACAAAGTAATAATTTAAATTATACATTTTAAAACATCAACAAATAGTTAATTATCAGTTATCATAAATCCCTTTTGATTAATCAGTCAAGGCGTTATCCATTGCATGCCTAAACATTGTTAATAAAATTTGAAGGTTAATAAGTTCAGATTCAAGTTGCAAACAAGATAATGCTTTTCCAAAATGATCCTTTTCATACATTTTCATATAATTCAAATAATTTATTAAATAATCAACATACGATCGGAATCATAATCGTCTTGATCAGAATTCATATTGTTGCGGAAGTCAGTTCCCTCTAAATCAAATAAATCTTCAGCATCTAATGAATCTTCTTCTGGAGGAAGGTTTCTATTAGGCTGAAAGAGAAAAATAATAAATTATAGTAGTTTGATAGATAATCGAGTTTGTTGGAGTAGATGTGCTAACACATATGTGTTAGACATCCCCTACTTTTCTGTGCTTAAAAAGTTGCAATAAACTTTTAAGAATAATTTTGCATAACAATAATGAAGGGTGTATTTTTAGTTGCTAATTTCCACACACAGATTTCCAAGCACAGATTACTAGAATAGTATGATGGGTTATAGATCATTCTTCCAACATGTTTTTTTATCTAGGTTCTCTATCCTTTTTTGCATAAAATGTAGACATATTATAACATGGTATAACAGTTTATGCAGTGTTTCCTAACTTTTTCTGGTTCACAGACTGCTAAAATATAATGCACAATATCAATGGACCTCCTTTATTAAAAAAAAAAACATAAATATGTATCATGAAAAAGTACTTTCAATAAATATTCTAATACAGAACATTTTAACTTGACTTTAATTAATAAATAATAAAAATATTGGTAAACAAATAACACACTCACTTTAATGTTTTGTAAAAGTTTTTTGGCATCTTTGAAGGAGGACAGTCTTCTTCTCTGTAGAGGAGGTACTTGTGGTGATGGAGGTCCATTGTCCAGGCTGGTGTCAACTTGCCACCCATCATTATCCACATTATTTCGCGCTTTACTTATAATACTGGAAAACATTAAATACAGTGAGAATTTAAAAAATTACACTTGGTTTACAAAAATATACAAATGTTTCCATTGAATACCTAGCTAAAATTTTATGATCTCTTTGTGCTCTTTCTCTGTAAGCTTCAAACTCTGCATATTTCTGGTCTCTAAATTGTCTGACTGAATCTTCAACAGCTTCCAGTTGTGACTGTAGTGTTTGACTGAGCTGTTTGCTCAAGTTACCAATAACTTGTTGTGTGGGAGCCCATGCCCTCTTATCATTAAAAATAAAATTGTTTGTATCTATGTTCTCTTTCATTTCAACACCTTGTGTAATTTCTGGTACTAACAGATTGAATACAGGGGAGAAATTACTGGATTTCTTTAAATTTTTGACTTGATCTATAGTAGTCTGAAAGAAAATATTGAATCTAGTAAATCACATTGAGAACTATTTGAGTATATGTTGTTATTAATGAGAATATTAAATATTCATAACATGAATATGTTTAGATTAAATTTTCATTCATATTGGTGTGACTGCACAAAAATATGTTAGGTTTTTATTTAACATTATTATAAATAGACTAACTTACCTGAGTAGATTTAGGAATCACAGCTAAGTTAGAGCCCGTTGTATTGTCATTGAGTATGGCATGAGTAGTCTGTCCACATGCAAGGCAGGAATGTAGAGTCCAGCGGCCTACTGTATGGTGTCCTACCAAAGCTTGTTGAGCCACCACACTTTTTAAAGAGTTGACTGGAACGGCCAGCATACTCTTAAAAGTGCATTTGTTAAATTAAAACATTAAATTATATAAAAAAGTAGATAATGTTTGACAGAAGAAACAGATTGAAAGGTATGTATTGCTGAAAACAATATTTCAATTTTATTTACGATTTTTATTTTATAAATTACAAATTAGTAAGTAACACATAAAAAATATGTATCTTTAGACAAACAATATTTTAAACCGGAAAAGACAGTTTCTAATTCTAATCGGCACGGTATATAAACTGTGTCAAAAATAGTGTTATTTGTGAAGTAGGTACAAAAATAACCTCTAAGAGAACATAAATAATCAGAGGCTGTTTTGATCGCACATGTAGGTGTTAAATAAACTTGCTATTTAACATTATTAGTTTTTATTATTTCTCAATATTATTTGTACCATTAGGATTAAGCAAATCTAATACGAATCAAAAGGGAACCCTTCTGTAAGTCAAGGTCAAGACATGTTTACCGACTGTACCTGACTGAAAAAAATATCCCTTTGTTCCGTCGTTGTTAGCTCCATTTTAGCAATATCAAAGTTATCTTCAATTTTATCACACTCCAATGATACATTTAAACATTTACAAATACAGAGAGCCATCGCGGTAGCAATTTAGTAATATTTGACTGTTCACAACAATATAAAACACTGAACATTCACACAAAATAAACAGATTGATGTATGCACCTATTTATTTTTATCTACAAAATTTGTCAAAATTCTACTTGGATTTGGTATCTCGCTAAGCTGCCACTTTCTTCCTTACTCTGAAACATCGATTCGAAACTAGATTTTTTGTCTCTATCTAAATAATAACAGAAAAGCGAGATATATCTCATTTTCCGACAGATATGGTGCTGTGTTGGGTTCTGTGCTGCCAGATCCTTACAATAAGAGTTGTCCTAGGTTAAGCTTACCAATCGTCTTGTTTTCTCAGGTCATGTTCTGGACTTTCTAGTAAAAGTGCCGGTGCAGTGCTGTGTGTGGCCTAATTGTCTAATTTTAAACTAAACCTAGTAACTTAAATTTCTTAAAAAAAATACCGCATTCGCAATAGAGCATGGGCGGAAAACCAGTCGATCGCGACTATTAGTCCAGTCGATCGTGGCAATTCAAAAAATATAAATACATAGTGTACGAACTATGCTGTTTCATTTAAGATTTTAAGAAGTAAAGTAATTGGTAGATCGTACTGGGCGTCGTCAGTGAAAAGTCGATCTTGGGTCTAAACAAGTTGTCCATCCCTGCAATAGAGTATTTGACATTTTGATTTTTATTGATACAGTAATTTTAATGTAATGTTCTTATAATGTAATAAAAAATAATTTAAAACTATTTTTATAATCAGTCTAATGCCCTATTGCCCTATCATATATCAAATTGTTGTAGCGTGAAATGAAACTCAGATATAGTCATAATATCAAAATTGAAAATGTCATGTGTCAGCTGCAGGGCGATTGTGTAAAAACCCGAACCCGAAGTCGAATTCACTCATGTGTATTCGGACACATGAGTCATTTGTCATTTAGTGAAGAAATTCTAATGATTTAATTTTTTCGTATAAAAATACAAAACAAAATTGATTGATTATACATGTCTCAGATATTCTATTCCCATGCTATTTCGAAACTCACTCATACCACGAAACGTTATTACCAATTCAAGATTTAGCGAATGCCGCTTTTTGAATTGAATTCGGACACCTGAGTGAATTCGAATTCGGGTTTTTGCAGAACCGCAAGGCTGAGCCTGCACTGTCAGTGTCATTCGTGCACATTCGTGTCACCATTGTGCATTTGCAGTTAGTGTGGTCAATTTTTCAAGATTTATGGGACGTTGTTTGCCTTGCCACGTCTTACAGTATAAAAGTTGCAATAAGTATTTTCAGAAGTAAGATTGCTTATTCTTTCTAAAATCCAAGTATGCGTTTTATTTAATCAGGTTATAATCGTCCGTATTTAAAGGTTATCAGTTATAATAGCACCGGTATAAAAATGTCTAAAAGAAGTCAACCTAATTGGTGTCCTCCTTCGAGGTCTGACAAGAAACCAGCTTTAAAGTTATACAATAGTTTATCTCGTCAGAAAGAAGAGTTTGTGTGTACCAATGGGAATAAAGTTAATTGGTATAGTTGCGGTCCTACAGTATACGATGCTTCTCATATGGGTCATGCAAGGTAAACTTACAATTATCTATTCAAATAACATCAGTAGTTTTTATGTAATATACCTGCACCATTTAGTGCATGTAGTATATGTATTATAATAATAAGAAACATTACATACTCATCTGATTTTATTGCAGTTAAATTTTGTACTGATGATTTTAGTAATAAGTTTGAAAGAGGCTGCTGTAATGCTTAGTAATGTTAAGTAAAAATACATAATTTTTATACCATTTACTGAAATAATGTGAAAATTTGATTATAATTTCAGATCTTACATATCTTTTGATATACTGAGGAGAATTATGTCAAATTATTTTGGATATGATATATTGTATGTTATGAATATAACAGATATAGATGATAAAATTATTAAAAGAGCCCGACAAAATTATTTATATGAAAATTATACAAAAGAACCAAGAAGTCTAAATGAAACTGTAGATGATGCAATAGCTGTTACAAATTATTATGAGAATGTGGTGAAACAAACTGGAGATCCAGACAAAAAGAATGCATTTCAGAAAATGTTAGATAAGTAAGTTTGGGGATATGTATCATATTAATCATTAAAACCTATCTTATTATTGTGGCTAGTAGATTGCATGATATTTTTAGAATTAGTTTTAGGCAATAATGCAATCCGTTCACTCAAATTGTTTGTTATTAGTTTTGAGTTTAAAATTTTGGAAAAAATGTATATGTTGAAAACTTTGGTATTAAAATTCATAGGTAGTGATATCATGGATAAAAGCAGAAAACCATGGGAATGTTCCCAGAAGTATGATATCACTGTCACATGTCAGTATTTTCTATTAAAATAGGGGTGCAAACAACCTTTTTTTATATATTTCTATCTTACAAAACACATAACAATAACTTTTTTCAAATTAATTGAATATGTCATAAAGCAATATATAATACTTAATAATATTAGTAAAAATTTGAAAATTATGTTTTTAATAGAGAGCATTTTATTTAGTTGTTCACAGTTGACACAATGTCTGGTTCATAACTGTTTATAATAAACAGTAGATAGTAATACAGTTGATAATATTATAGATAGTTAAAAGTAATTGATAGTTGATCTGTCAACAAATTAACCAGGGCATTATTTTTACACATCAAACAGGGCTATAGTTATATAACTACTATATAGTAGAGGTCCACCTTAAGCATATAGAAACTAATTCCATTATTTTTTTTATAAAAATAAACTTAATATCTATTAAAATATTAGAATAAACAAAAATTAATGATTGCTAATATAATTATTGAGGCAAATCATCAAAATTTCAATTGGTTTGCTACTGGTACATTAACCCTAAAATTTAATTGTTACTTATTATTATTTTTAGTGTTGCTGCATCGGTTAAGTGTCTACAGTCTGCTGTTCAAGAAAATAATGATGAAAAAATTAGAACTGCTAGATGTGAAATGCTCAAGTCTGCTAAAGATCCTATATCAGATTGGTTGGATCATAAATATGGTGCAACTGTAACAGATAATGCTATATTCACCTCATTGCCCCGATATTGGGAAAATGAATTCCATAAAGATATGAAAGCTCTAAATGTAAGTTTTATGGTCCACAAGGCAACTCATCTGGTTACAAAATTATATAATTACTAATGAAGACTTCATGGATTTTGATCAAATTGCTAATGCCCTAGAACCTTATTTTATTTAAAACACCACCTCTTTAAGACAAATAACGTTTAGTTATAAAACAGTTGTAATTTTTAGTTGACCATAATAACAAAACAATTAATATAAAAATATAACAATAAGCAGGTAATAGTGCATGTTCACAACTCAATATGTGGATATTACATGTGTTGAACACAAATGTAAATAGTTGACATAAATAGCAGACAGTTAATTATATCCATACTAGAATATAGCAATTTGCGGGCATTATATCCATTCTCAGCTAAAATTATCAGGTTTTTAGCCTGACTTGCTATTATAGCCTTTACTTGAAAATAATAAAAATTGAATATACATTCTCGCCATTAACAATTCCCTTACATTTTTTACAGGTATTACCACCTGATGTGTTAACAAGAGTAAGTGAATATGTACCACAAATTATTAAATTCATAGAAAAAATTATAGAAAACGGCTTGGCATATGAATCAAACGGGTCAGTTTATTTTAATGTTAGCGAGTTTGATAGTAGAGATAACCACCATTATGCTAGACTTGTTCCAGAAGCTTATGGAGATACCAAATCATTACAAGAAGGAGAAGGTATATAACAATCACATAAAATTGTAAAAATGAATTTAATTCTTTGTATACATGACAACTTGTTAGAATAGTACAAAGGGTCAAAATTCTTCTGTAAATTTTGAACTTCATTAGTAACTGATTAGGCTTAAAACCGTTTGAAAAAGACCCTTTGAACTAACCTGAAATGCTGTCTAGTATATATATAACATAATAAGACGATGTAATTGGTTATTCATACGAGTAAATTTATAATATTATGTTATGAAATCGATTGAAGTATATCAAATATGCTTGACGATCAGTTGTTAAACTGAAACAAATTTGTTCTTAAATAATGGACTAAAATTTCTCTTAAATTAGCTATGGATGTAAATAGTTTGAGAAATATAGACTTTTTATCATCAAAATATTTCAACTTAACAATATTACACACTGTTTAGGTGATTTAAGTGATGACACAGCTGAAAAAAAATCTCCAAATGATTTCGCGCTCTGGAAGCGGAGTAAAGCGGGGGAGCCATCTTGGGAGTCGCCATGGGGTGCAGGCCGGCCCGGATGGCATATAGAGTGTTCTGCTATGGCGTCTGATATATGCGGCTCCAAGCTGGATATTCACACTGGAGGTGTAGATTTGAAGTTCCCACATCACGACAATGAACTTGCTCAAAGTGAAGTAAGTTATGAGTATTAAAATAATGTTGATGTTGTAGATTTTATAGAATTAAAAAGCATATAAATACAGAACATCTTTCCATATATTTGAATATTAATAATAATTACAGCAGCACAAAGATAAGAGAGAATTTCACATGTACTATAATGTCTCATATCAGATACATAAGTAAAATGCTTTTTGCATAGCTCTATCATTTTCTCACAATATTACACAAGGCTTATTTGCCCACGTAACTATTTGTCCGCGTAAATTAACCCGTCGCGTATTCGCGCTTCCTGTAAATGAAATATTTTTAAAATCGTTCATTAGTTTAGGAGTCTATTGAATGCAAACAAACTATCAAATATTTCCTCTTTATAACATTAGTTTAGATATATGGATTATGCAGTATTCATGCGTCAGTACCTTAGTAATGCAGAAAAGTTGCATTTGTTCATGTCCTTAATCTACTTAATAAACATATTATAATGTGTCTTATGTCTGTACAATGAAAGTCCTTTTTTGTACTGTAACTTGATTTTTCAACTCATCTAGGCTCATTTCGACCAAGCAAGCTGGGTAAACTATTTCCTCCACACGGGCCATCTGACGATAGCTGGCTGTAAGATGTCCAAATCTTTAAAGAATTTTGTTACTATTTCTGACGCGCTGTGCCGCCATACGGCAAGACAACTCCGAATAGCATTTCTACTGCACGGATGGAAAGACACCCTTGATTATTCAGATAACACCATGGAAATGGCGATACAAACTGAAAAATTGTTCAATGTAAGTTTCATCTATGATTATCCTTAATTTTTTTGATAGAGAGTTTGTGACAAAAGTTACAAGTATTTCATAATTTGTAAAAAGCTTGATGATAGTATAAAAAATGAAGCTACTGCTCAGGCCCCACAATTGTGGAATATGGAGGTTGAGCACGTCCCAGAAGTTGTTGCACTTGGTATTCTGGGTAATGAGTGATATATCTAGAACTTCAACGTACTGAAATATATCCTTTCGAAAATTTTGGTACATTTTTGTCATGATCTCTTCGACTAATTTGTATAGCATATGTTGAGTTGTACTAGTTATGAGTAGTTAGTTTCTTTTAACAGTTAAATCATTTAACTTATATCATTATAAGTTCACGAAAACAAGAGTTTGGAATATTATGACTTAGGTTTTGTATGTTGCCGTTTTATTAGACATTGTATTAAAATTTATTATAGTTCATTTAAAGGACTTTTTTCATCTATAGTTTTTACAAAATTGCAGGAGTTCTTTTTGACGGTGAAAGACGCTTTACGAAGCGGTTATGATGAGGGTTGTGGTGGAACGTGGGCTCTTGAGGAACAACAGCTGGCCGCGAAGCTCAGCGCAGCTAAGGAACAAGTTCACGCCGCGCTCTGTGGTGAGTTTGATCTCAGTATAAGATATATAATCGTTTTTGGCAATAAAACTATTTCTAATTGATTATTCATTATAATAAAAAAGGGTCGATAGGTTATGCCAGCACTAATACGATGTCAAAATTGTCCCCAGCATACACACCTACACAATACAGATCAGACATAATGTATGATTTTATGACTTAGAAGTATTTTTCAGCTCCGGAGTTACGAGTAGGTTTCGATGCTCCGGAGTTAGGTTTAGGACGCAATATTTATGATTCTGATTGAGTCAATTAAAAATGTATAATTACAAATGAAATGTGACACCCTCGATATTTAGATGATTTCTTGTGTAGTTTCTATAGGTTAACATAACACAGGACGGCATTTTTATATGATTAGTGCATAAATGCACAAAATCAATGCTTTCGTCAGACTGCGCTCAGCGCGACTGCGCTATGCTAATTAGCATAGTTTTAAGGTATCTATCTACCATTTTTTATTGTAATATCATTACCTTAAATAGTCCCATGGATTATTTTGTTCCGCACTTGAAATAGGATCGATTGAAATATTTTTTTGGTAATATGAACTTTTTTGCTGACAGTACAATTTTTTCGAAATCTGTTTCCGCTATTCAGGATATCTTAAAAAGTAATTAATAGTCTGCCAGAATCGTTGAAACATGCCTTTAATGTCCCGTATTAAAAACCCTTGAGTATATTATATGGCATATCATTTAACTTATCAGATAATATCGACACGCGTGGCGCGATTGACGCGTTACGTGAACTAGTGGGGGGTGCTCACGTGTACCTGCGGCAGAGCAAGCCTCGGCCCTCGCCCCTGCTGGCGACCGCCGCCCGGTATGTGACTGACATGCTGCACATTTTTGGGGCCATCGAAGGCCCTCGAGGCGGAATAGGATTCCCTGTCGGTGACGGGGATAATATCAGTGTGAGTTTAGATATATATGATGAATAATATTGTTTTTTGAAACTGTTTTTTGTTGTTGAAATGACTTGACTCCTTATAGTCTAAGAGATCGTGAGCAAAATCTGCGAGAGCTTTCTAAAGCTTGATATTTCAGTATGCTTTCATTTTTTTAGTACAGCACCTGTACCATGGACTGGGTACGTTACCCGGTGCCCAGTGCGTGGGGCGGGTATATATAAAGTACGAAAAATGCTGAAAACATATATGAATGCTGATATTTAATAGTGTAAAATTAGCAAAAATTGCTCAGATTAAACAATTGTGAAACGCGGGTACTCTACAGATCTTAATAGTTAATGTCAACATGGGCATTCAAAAAGAGTGGTACTGTTTGAAAGTTAATTAATTACTAAATTATTAGTAGTTAGATTATTAAAAATACTCAAGACTTTAATTTAATGGAGCAAACATAACCAGCAATATTTAGAAGTTTTAAGTCTCCTCCATCTCATCTTTCGACAAAACCTATGCACGAAATAAAAATTTTATGCTTTTAAGTAGGAAATAAAATGTTTTTAGACCTTAACTTAAAAGCTTTGAATACCGCTCATTTTAATATTTTTTTTCTTAAGTTCCGTAGGAATGTCCATATTAATGTATACATTTGAGATCCACGACTCCAATTCTAACTTCCAACTCCAATCACTGGTCAAAGTATACACATAATGATAATGACTAATAATATGTGAGATGTGTTTAGTAAAATATATTGTTTGTTGTCAGCTTTAGTTACCATTTCGTTTGTGTACAGTTAGAGGCGACAGTGATGCCCTATCTAGAAGCACTGAGTGGGTTCCGTGCACAAGTCCGTGATGCTGCAAGAACAGTTCGAGCGAACGAAGTTCTTGCGTTGTGCGACGCGTTACGAGACACAGTACTGCCAGAGCTCGGCGTCAGGCTCGAGGACAAGCCAGGTAGTGTTTATTCCTTTGTTATAAAGATCATATTCGCATATATAAACAGCTTCCGAAACTCGTGAATGCACCTGCAGCATTAACAGCCTGCAGCATTAGTGCTCGACATAAGGACCTAAGATAAGCAAGGTTGTCGTTAGTATTCCTTTGTAATAAAGATCATATTCGCTTAAATAAACTGCTTCAGAAGCTCGGAGTGATACGGTAGAATAAGAATTCGGTATAGTTTGAAAACAAGTAAAGTAGTAACATACTCCTATATAATAATGATTACATTAGAGTAAAAAGAGTATCCGTTCTACTTGATATAGTCCTACAAAAAATCAGTTTGCGGCTGTGGAATTCAATCCATTAGTCTATCATACTTGAAATAAGGATATTTTTTATTGTAAAGCTGATACTTAGTTTGTATATCAGTTTCTACTGATAGTTTATATGTTACACTACTATTACATGTTTTTTGTGTACATTATATAAAATTAAATTAATTTATACAACTGTCTCGTAATAAGTTAGATGTACGTATTAAATAATTACGTTATTGTTAACTAAACAAAGAATTATATATTATCGTAGATCGCACAGTCGTGAAGTTGGTGAGCAAGGAAGAATTGATGAAGGAAAAAGAAGAAAAGAAGCGGATAGAAGCAGAGAAATTGAAAAAGAAACAGGAACTCCTCGAAGCGCAGCGGGCTAAAGAGGAACAGAAAAAGATACCACCATCCGAGATGTTCAAGCGAGAGACTGATAAATATTCCAAGTTTGATGATAAGGTAGTGACTATTGTCTTATTGATTGTAGAGCTTAGTTTTAACACTATTTTTGTATAAAAAAATTAATATATAAGTAAGTTATTTACTTTCAAAGATAAATCTGTATGACTAACCGTTCTTTGATTTTTTTTTAATAAGAATGCATTTTTTTGTTTGTATAAATACGTTTACTGACAGATATCGTTAAAAATGAGTTCTACTTATTCTTTATTTTTGCTTTTTTCAATCTCAATTCAAATGGTATAAAATTGAATCTCGGGGATCATGATACATGGCTAGTGTGTTAGTGATACCAAAAGAAATAATATTGTATTAATTATTAACATAAATAATAAGAAGTTGATGCATCCGCAGGGTCTTCCAACGCATGATAATGAAGGCAAAGAGCTCAGCAAAGGTCTCGTTAAGAAACTGCAGAAGCTGCAACAAGCCCAAGAGAAGAAATACAATGAGTACTTAGCGTCTATCAATACTTGCTGAATCAACATTACTATTTATATTATTTTTCACAATTGTTACAACATCATCGCCCATCATAATTTATAAAGTAAAATTGAAATGCAATATTTCGAGTGATTAGAGTAGGTAGACTAAATTGAGGATATTGATTTGAAGCGCATACATTATTTGGAATTTATTGATAATTATGATTATTTTTCTGGAAACTTCTTATTTAAAATGATGCGATTTCAAGCATAAAATTATATAGTAGTAAAGTGAATAAATCTAAATAGTATTGATTTAAATTTATTCACTTTTTTAATTGAAATTTTTATAGAGTAGCAAAAGTGATAATAATACTAAACTTAAACAGTATTCAGTTGAATCCGGAAATATGTTTTATCCGTGTTATTATTTCTATGACCATTTATGATTGAAGTGTAAAAATCAATCTGCCTACTATGATCACTGCATAATATGACTAAAAGCTTGATAGTAAAAAAAACTTACTTCCTAGACTAGTATTTTGTGGATATTATCGCAATGAGAATTTACAGATCTCAAACCTTGTACAGTTTTTATTGTAGGACACCGCAAATAGGTTGTATAAAATATTTATAGAAGTACATAGATCACTATAAAAAGCCAAATCTCTGCAAACAATTATGAACCTACCTGTCAACAGCTTAAGGCAGAATCGATTGGTAAAATTAGTAGACTTCCAATTTGTCTATAAATTAATTAGTGGTTTTTTAAAGTGCCTAAACGTTTTGCAAAAGTGGTATTATGTAATATAATTAATGAGAATGTATTACATTACAACAATACTGCTTCGATTACAGTGATACATTATGCATAAGTCGTAGCCAAGTGGTATTATCAGCCGACCAATTGGTCGGCTAGGACTATAATTGCCTAACCGCTTAATTAACCGGCTGTCTTAACCATTTGGTTGCGACATATATATGTATTTTTATACCTTAAATATAAAGGTACTATAATTTGACTAAATCGTTAATAGTATAATTTGCATGGTAGACACAGCAGCATTTACGAAAAATGTACGCAAAATAATTTTAAACTCTGTGTTCCCTGTAATAAAATGAATGAGGAATTTAAGTTGTGTGTAAGTACATTGTATGTCTTGCTTATTCATTTTATTCTCAATTTATTTCAACTGCTATAAATGTTTCAATATTGATTTCCTTCAGTATTATGTCGGGCCTCACTATTTATTATTTCAAGAATATTAATGCCTTAAATAAACAACATGAAAATTAAAATACTTTTATTTCACAGTAAAATACTTATTAAGTTTACATCCATTACATTATTAAGTTGGAAAAATCGTAGATCCCGGATCTACGATTTTTCCAACCGGGGCAAAAAATTGTCGACGAGTCTTTCTAAACGCACTTCCCATCACCTCCGTTCGATCGTCCGCCATTATTGTGAAGCTAATTCTTTTTGTTATATAAAATCATGAATTTCGCAACCCTTAATACCGGGGCAAGTGCCCACGCACAGGGTCGGATCTGGGGGGGGGGGGGGGGGGGCTAGACCCGGTCCTGTTATCCCTAAGTCTAAATATTGAGGCTGAGGGCTTTTGCACGCTACATAATGCCATGACCGTAATGAGAACAATGTCAAAACAATCCCGTCGCCGAACAACACCGGAGCGTGAGCGGAACGTCAATATTGGCGGCTGCTGAGAATATTATGGTAGTGTCAGAACGCACCGGTCATGGCATGCTTTGGTTTTGGTCTGAGACGGAACAGATCGCGTGCTCTGTTTCTCCGAATATGAAATTTCGTCTTATTGGAAACGCTGTGACTTCAAAATAAACCCAAATTTCGATAATGTATGAGGTAGCTCCTGACATTGCCTCTGATGCATAGATAATCTTAACATACACAATTTTAACAAAATACGAAGAACTCAGAAATTTTCTGAATTTTCGTTCGCGAACAAACCAGAGGCTCTCGGTCAGGGCCGGCCCGTAAACGAGACAACTGCCTAGGGCACTCATATTTGGGGGCGACATGTTATAATCTATTGCTCTTATAATTTGAATCTTCCAGTAACTTAAAAAAGGACTTTTTGGTCCTTTGGACATAAAACCATGTCCGCATATGCAATATTATGATTGAACATAACAATGCGTTTACCCAGAAATGATCCTCTGGTTTTCTGAAGTCTGAAGCTTGGAACGGAAATTTTATTTTTATTTCTTGTGTTAAGATTATGAACACTTTTTTGTGAAGGAATCGTAATGTTTTCTTGCGTACATAATATTTTCATATATGTATTGAGAGGCAACAGTAAAAATATTTATATCTTTCAATATTACGGCAAGATGCCGTTTCAACATTTGTCACGAGTCTAATTTTTAGCATCTCGAGTCTACTTGACAAGTTATCAATATGAGGATCCCATTGCAGTCGGGAATCTAGTGTAATACCAAGGAACTTTGTCGATTCCACTAACTCAACTTTTTTACTATTTACTTTATAAGTGTACTAACATGCCTCACATTAGGTAATGCAAACTTTATGCATTTAGTTTTATTTGAATTAAGCTTAAAAAAATATATTATCAAACCACTGCAGAACATTGTCGAGAGCATCATTTACATCGTCAAAACAATCAATGCCCCTCTTAACTTAAAACACTAAAGAGGTGTCATCAGCAAATAATACTGTCTCGCACAAATTCTTCGTAAAGTGAGGAAGATCATGCAAAAGCAAAGGTCCTAATACCGATCCCTGAGGTAGACCCATTACTGCCCCTTACTTTCTTACATGAAATATCGCTAAGATGTCTTATCTTATGGCTTGAGTCATGGCTACTGGCTGAACCAGGCTGTAGCACCCCAGGCTGGGAAACACTAAGCGAAATCTTCAACCGTTGGAAACAGTTTCAAATGTTATACATGTTACGCAGATTAAATATAAAAAATACTGATACTGAATCGATACTAGTGTTCTTAGAAAGCATATAGATCTAATTTTTTGCCCCGGATTGAAATAAGCTTGAAAATACAATAAAATCTGATATCAATGAACTAAATGTACAGTTGATATTCCTGCGCGTTTTTTATTCAATGAAAGATGAGCTTTGACAAATTAAGATATAATGGAGGGTTGGTATAGAATTCACCGATTATCTACATTTAACTAAACATTAAAAATAAATTATTCCCGAGTCTATGATTACAATGGAGCCACATACGCTTCAACGAGATATTTATAAGGGCGGCTGCCTCGTGCGCCACGACAAAAGTTAGTAAAAAGGGAACAGATTTTTAAAAAAAGTAAAGAATTGAGGTAAACAATCCTGCGTTTTTTACGTCGTGATATTTGTGGGGTGCGCGAGTTGAGCACGCGAGCGACTGACGCACTGAGTGAAATGTTAGTAAATATATGAAGAGGCGCTTTATTCACAAACTCTATTGAATACAAACTTTGCAGAATTTATCATCTATTCTAATATTAGAAAGAGATAAAGTTTACTTGCTTGTTAGGGGAAAGTAGTGTTTGGAAATATGAAAATAATAATAATCATGAAATTTTTCACTTATGGGAAGCTACATCATACGCGAGTGATATAAGCTATAAAAATACGGCTTCGGGGTTGCTGTAGAACAGCTTCCAGTAGTTTCGGAGCCATGCAAACAAACAAACAATTAAAATCTTCCCTCTTTGAATGTTTGTACAGATTACTAGTGGTTTTCCGCGACTTTGCCCTCGTAAATTATAGCCTATGTCACTCCCGTGTGATGTAGCTTCCCGTAAGTTAAAGAATTTTCATGGTAAGATCAGTATTCCTGAAAATTACTCCTATAAATAAAGTTAAAAACTTTACGTTTACAAACATTTTAACGGCTTTTGTAATAAATAAAGACTTAAAAATAAAGTATTGATAGACAAAAATGTCTGTTTTAAAAAGGAGTCTGGTTGCGATTTATTATACTCTCACATAAGAAATATATTTAAATATATGCCAACCACTAAACCCGTAACAACGGAAATTCCCATCGCAACGGTTGTAATAAAACGTGGAGACTGAATCCGATTTAAATAGTTTTTACATTTTGATCAAAATCAGATTGACATGGTCAGGACGTAACATAACAATTGTGGGTCGTAGGGTGTGAGCATAAACTTAAAGTATATGGGTGTGTGTAATTTCTAAGCCGGCAGTTGCCGAGAAATGCTACGCCGCATAGCGGTTGACCGCCCGGTGAGATGTCAATCATTTGAATACATTCCTCAATGCATATTGTTACATTTACGGATTCCTCGTAGATTTTATCGATACCACAATTCCGTTATAATAAAGTCAACGAACTGAAAATTGAGTTTTGTGCAGAATTTTTAACTTTCTGAAAACTTCCGTTGTGATCGTCCACACGGAAATTGATTGGTAACGGTCATACCATTGTTATTTTTCTCATGGTAATTTTTACGGAAGCATACGTTGATATGTTTAGAATCACAGAAAGAATAGTTGTGACGTTACTGATAATGATCAGTTTCTGAATCTGTCTAAATTTGTTGGAATGTATACGTCAAATATGTGGAGACATGATTTCTTTACAATTTTAGGAGTTAACGAATGAAAGTACAAATATTGGGAACCGAGGGGAAGTAAAAACTGTCAGATTGTTGATAAGTAGTTACATATTTTTTATTTATAAAGCCCAAAAAGAAATTGAATTAGGACTAATAGAAATATTGTATTTAATTCTGAAAACTGATTTCTTGATGAAAACTGAAGACTTTAGGTTTCTGTTGATAAACTGTCACCTTCTCGCATTTCGACTGCGTCTATAAAAAAAGATACGTTAATGGAACCAACGGGACTATTCTGATAAGAAAACTGTATTAGTGTTATTACAAAGTGTTCAACGCGTGTTTATCTTTTTTGTAATAACACTGTATATGTCTAATATCCGTAACTTTATCTTAGCCTATGGTTAGGTACATCTAAAAATAATATACTCTGTATTAGCCATTCAAAAGTTTTATTAAAAGGGCGGGTCAAACCAAAATACGGTCCTTTTCTTATTGCGCCCGGTAATAAAATAGAGGATGGCAAATTGCGCCACAAAAACGGTTTTAATTAATAATTCGTAAACTGTCACGATTATTGTATAAGTGCTGCATAAAGCCCTCGGCTGTAACAAAGTGACTGATATACTTATCAATTTCGCTATAAAAAAGAGCATAGGAGAAAAAAAAAAATAATGTTGGATTTTAGAGCCAATTTCATGATTTTAAAGTTTTTTTATGTT